CAACAAGCTCAGACAACGGCCCGCGTCCAGCGGCCATGGCCTGGAAACACGGTCATCTTTAGCGCATCTACCCGCTGTGGCCATCCATCTTCCCGCTGTAGACCCGTCTCCCCTTCAGCGGGCACGCGACTCTAGGTACGTAGAGTGGGGAGCCAAAGTACCTACCATAGGTACCGCCTAAGAGCACAATGTGCCCCCCAGGTCCGGTCCTGCACAGCACAATTCGGCGCGCGCCCTGCAACACGCGGGAGACGTGGACGCGCGAGAGACACGCTTCCGTTTTTTTGGGCAAGGGCCCCCCTCAAAAAGGTCCAGGGCCGCACCACCGGGCCTCCTTCCATCAGACCTGCAACCACTTAATTTTCACTCTCTTCCTTACCAAATGTGTTAACCCCGTGGCCAGGCTTGGATCCAAGAGACCTCTTCAAGATATTCAACTTGTTAACAGAAGCTTTCCTCTCTACCTCTCTCTCTCTCTCTCTCTCTCTCTCTCTCTCTCTCTCTCTCCTTCCTATATCCCTCCGAGACCTTGACTCCCGCGTCCTGTACATCTCACCCCTGCCGAAAGAGCGAGCCACTTACACGCTTACCCGCACAACGCCAATATCCCACGTCCGATAGTCGAAGCGACACCCGCGCCGAGAATAACGCGCCGACCTCCCAACGACGTGCAGGGAAACCAATTTCGAGAAGTCACAAGAGGAAATACTGCAAACAGGAACAGACACGCCTTTCTATATCCTAAGACCGGCACTCTCGACTCTCCTAGTCTGGGCATGCCGTCGTCGCCATAATGCTCGACTCGTCGCCCCAATCAAAGACCCAGGAGCCCACGCTTCCTCTGGCCGGTACCAAACGTCCTGCCCCGAGCCTCCTCCCGGCATTCGAACCTCTCTCTTCTTCGCCGGGCTTACCTAGACCCTCCAAACGACAAGCCCGTCCTGGTTCTGTGGGAGCAAGCAACGCGTACCTGAAATATCCCACCCCGATTCCGACCTCGAGCACCGGCATCCTATCCTCCTCTCCGCCCCGCGTACACTCAAGACCTGGTGGTCTCTCTCGAGCACTCTCTACCGCCTCCGAGCGCACTCCCCTCGGTGCTGTCAGCTCCATCGAATTGAACGAGAATGGCGAAACTCTCCTCATGGGCCGCTCTAGCAACTCGTCCCATTACCAGCTATCCGCAAACCGCCTCGTCTCCCGCATCCACGTCAAGGCCCGCTACGTGCCTGCTCCCTCCGCCCTGGAACCCAACAAGATTGAAATCATCTGCAATGGCTGGAACGGGTTGAAACTCCACTGCCAGGGCCGCACGTGGGAGCTCCTCAAGGGCGACTCCTTCACGTCCGAGACAGAAGGGACCGAAATCATGATTGACGTTCAGGACGCCCGCGTCATGATCCAATGGCCAAAGCGGGACCGTCGCGACCGTCTCGCGAGCCCTGACGAGTCGGCATGGGGAGACTCGCCCCCTCGTTCCGCTGCTCGCGTTGCCGCCGACCTCCTGCAGTCGAGCCCCCTGCGCCGACCCTCGCGCATCGAGTCCCCAGACTCACCGACGGCGCACCTGAGCAGCTCGCAGCGACTTCAGGCTCTGTTGCCGAGGGAAGATGGAGAAGTTCAAATCTACGAGGACTCCAGCGCAGACGAGCCCGAGCTTCCCAAGCTGGTTGACTCTGGCACCATTATTGGTCAGAGCTTCGCTACCGAGGCCACCAACTCCTTCTCGTCCGAACTCAGTGAACCAGAGGACGAGAACGACAACGACCCTGACGAGGAGAATGACCCCATTGTCCACTCTTTTGGGCCATTTGGCGCAGATATCTCTAACCGCCTGGCCTCCATCACTACTGCTTCTCCCAAGTTCCCCCCTTTCAAGCGGACAGGTCTGCCCACGGTTCGCGACGAGTCAAGACCCTCTAGCCCCATTTCCGCGCCGCCAAAGTCGCCAGAGGAGGTAGAGGAAGGCGAGGTGTTCGAAGACGAGGAGGAAGTCAAAGAATCGGAGCCCCCCTACGAGAACCCCGCCGTCCGCAACCATGTCGTCAACCAGCTGGCCTTTTCGCGTCTGTCGTCCAACCCGCTGTCAACCATTATGAACAACCTGCCGTCAGAAGAGCGCAAGGGGTTGACCAAGGACCAGCTCCGAAGTCTGATCGAGGCAACGGCATGCATTGGTATTATCCAACGCCAAGGCAAGGACGCTGCTGGTAAGCAGCTCGAGAGCGAATACTACTACGTCCCCGAGTTCGACCACGACGACCAGCGCCGCCTTGCCGTGACTGATGGTCTGCGCAAGCCCAGCCTACGAGCGTGCCGCAAGCAGCACAAGGTAAGCTTTGTAACGTTGAGGTGTAAGGAGGTTGAGGTTAACATGTTGGATTTAGCAATACTACTGGAAGCGCCCCCGTACACCTTGAACCATGTTCCAGCTATCGCTTTTCATCCCATGTTTTTCGCGGGGTTCCCACGCCCTTTTTGCCTTGCTGAGGCTGAATTGATGCCGTGCATATACCTAGCATGGCCTCTCACTTCTCCCCCCCCCTCTTGCACAACACCTTTTTACTGTCTATACCTTGGCTTCTCAAAAACCACGCATTGGTCAAAACCAACTCGTGTGTACTGGCTGCATAGCGCAAGGCGTTTTTCTGTTTTTCCAATCTTCTCCAAAGTATTACTACTGTACGATTTCACTACTACTACTACTATACCTCTGGATGAGGGCGGGCGGCCTCCTTATTTTTATCCCAAAGATTCCCCCAAGGCATTACACAAAACAAAATCACCATAACACGCCCACGCCTACAAACCCGACCCCCCGATTCCGAACCCCCTCGGTTAGACGAGATACATGCAGCATCCAGGTTACATTCGATTTGGAAGCGAGGAGTGTGTGTCTCTGTTTTTGATTTTTGATGGAATTTGTTTCTCGACTCGCCTGCTTTTCCGTCTTTTAAAAGAGGGCCTCTTGATTTTCTGATGCGTTGGAAGGGTTATACGAAGAAAGATGGGATATGAATTGGACTGGCGGGCGGTCGGTCACGGAAATGGAAATGATGATAGGACGGACGGGATGGTGTTGGATGGATGGACGGGCAGGGAGGTGGTTTAGAAAAGGTCGACGACTCGTCTTCAATCAGAGGTCTGGCGAATAAAAATCATGTTCTTCTACTGAGGTTGCATACGATCTGGCTCATTGCTTGTGACTTCATGCTCGATCAGGTTTCTGGTGACAAGCGTTGGGATTCATGTTGAATCTGGGCAGCTTATAATAAGATAGTGGCCAACCCAGAAATGCGTTGGGTGGGAGGTCCACGCCGTCACGCGCTCATCCCTCCCTGCCCGCGTCTTAGCTCGTGCCCGAAAAAACACTCTTGACTCTTTCCTTCCAACTCAAGCTACGGTGAGGTGACATGGACCAACCTTGCCTTTTTCCTCACATGTAATTTCAAAAGATGTATCCCGTTCCACGCATTTCGATAACAACAAGTCAATCCAGCAAGATATTCGAATCTACCGCTCATCAGAAGCTATCACGGAACGAGGGAATAAATCCATGGTCTTGTAGGAGGATGTAAGCCGGAATCTGCAGCATGATGTCGTTTCCTTGCGCCGCGTTCCCCGGAGCTCATGTGGGGCCGGCTTGGTGTGATGCACGGACCTTGTGTGACTGATAACGTCCGATAAGCCTAATTTGGTGTGGGTCTGAGCCTGAACTCTTTGCTTCTATCTACCCCGCAATGACGGCGGTGGTTTCTTTAGGTGCCCGGTTGTGGTGTATGGTGGTGTGTGTAGGTAGATATCTCTCCCATATCGCACTGCATAGGTATACTAAAACAGATGTTGAGCTGGATTCCTTCAGTGGCTGATTGCGTTGAGCGTGGGTAAGGTGTCAATTTGCTGGCTGAATATGATTAGTGCGTATCTAGGTATACCACGTAGGACTTGTGTCAGTTGCTGGAAGGTCCTTAGCTTGGAGCTATCTACGTGACAAGGCGCCTTCTAGTATAGAGATGTTTTATGACGGCAAGGGTGTGTGTCAACAGAGCCGGTGGCCGATTCACCCCCGATGAGAGATGTCAGTGGCGATATGTCTGGTTCCCCCTCCGTGGCTGGGTAGCTCATCCTACCTTACCAGCTTACTTAAGATATCCTAGGGTGCAATACGCCAACAGACGAGGTAAAGAAGCTTGCCTACCGGGCGGTGTGATGTTATATTTTCAAACCCCCACTGGGCTGATCATCGTCTGATGCAGCTGTTGCTCGCTCCAATGCAATCCGTGCTCCAGCACAAGACAGGATCGGGAAGTGTACGAGAAGATACCTCTGGCGTTCATGTTGCGTGATAATACCGTAGTATACCACCTAGCTGTGCATGTTCGTCATCCCGTTTGCAATAGTGTGATTATTCGATATGCAATTTTGTTAGGTTTTTTTTTGGGGGGGGGGGTTTCTTTTTTCTTTTTTTGCCCCTTTGTTAGAGGCACGGAGGCGCAGAGTTCGTCATCCCGTTGCTACCTTGCCTCTAGTGCTCCTCGGGTAAGGTAGGTCGTTCATGTACATCGCATCCTGCAGCGACGATCTCCGACAAGTCGTAGGACGAGGCGTACCTAAGGGAGGTTAAACACTTCCGGAAAGAGGTGATGGTGGTGGTGGTGTGTGCAACGCGAACCTCGAAGGCGCATTGGACCCTTAAAGCGAATGAAAGGAACAACGACACACACAGCAAAGGACTGCAGAGGTCTGGGAAGTTTAAAACATCTCCTCATTCCCTTCTTCCCCCGCTCTTCCTCTCGCGATACTCACCTGCTTCGTTGCTCCGCATCACACCGTCGTCGTGTAATCAAACCTCTACATTCCAACAGATCCGAGTATAAACACTTCAATCCTCCGCACCTACAATAACAAACCAAACAACATCAAACCACACAACCATCACACCTCCAAAATCACCAGAAACCTCAACCTCCCAAACCCAACCACGCTTATAACCGCAAAAAATGGCATCCGAACAAACCCACCAAGCCTCCCAACCCGACATCTCAAACTACACCACCTCCCCAACCTCTTCCTCTTCCTCTAACAACCAATCTTCCACCCCATCCGCAACCCCGCGCGCCATCGTCGAGTCCACGACAAACAGCTGGAAACCCTCCTTCGAGCGCCGCCAGAGCTGGAACCAGGAAGACCAGAAGCGCGCGCTGCAGATGAGTCGGATCGAGGATGTCAAGACTGGGCCTGGGTTTACCGAGCGTTCATAAAGGGGAATCGTCGGAGGATTGAAGATTGATGTGGCACCTTTTGCAGAAAGATTGTTCAACTTTTTCATGGGAGAGGGGAAGGATTCGGGGAGAAACAGTAATACTGGCCTGAGCTGACGGGAGTACCTACGCTACGGTCAACGAAGATGGATTGAAGATGGCGGTTTTTGCGAGGAAGGATGGTCTTAAGCGAGGCGGGGATTCTTCTGGTACAATTCCTATACCTTACCTGAAGAACAAAATTGGCAATCAAGGGCATGGATGAATTCGCCGTCGGATGGTTGGTGAAGCATGGCGTTCAAAAATTGTATTACTAGGTTATACTTCATCAAAGCATGCATTACACATGGCTTCGACATCTTCCTCTCACAAATGCCGCTTCCCAACTAGCACGACACTATTCATAAGCCACACAGGTCTGAATCACCACAGTCTGGGACGAGAGTGAGAAGTGACTATTGCATCATTGAGCGTGCTACTGATACAGTTGAGAGTTTGCCTTGCTCAAGTGGCAGCCGAATCCTACAACCGAAAAAGGTATATGAACCATCCCAACGAAATTCCAAACTATTCCGCGGAAACCCCACGGCATCCGCCTACAACCCCTTGGGTCCCTGACCATCTTTACCTCCCGTCTTGAAGTACTCTCCAACAACACCAATCGCGTAAGAAATCCCGCCAACCCACACGGCACCAAGAACAACCTTCTTGGCCCTGCTCCTCTTGGGCCGCTTCGGAGGCTCGAAATCCTGGCTGTCACAGGATATCGTGTTACGCCTCCTCAGCGGGCTGGAGGGAGGTGGGGGCTTCTCTGTTGTCTCCGCTCCGGGGTAATCATAATTAAGGTAGCCTGTAGGACTGGAAGAGTAAGCGCTTGGTACTACGGGGTCGCTCCCCATCATGTCGATGGGGTTCACCTTTGGCGCCTGGTATGTCGTCGGCTTCTCGATCGCAGGGGCGAAGGAGACGGCAGCCTGTTCCTTGGATGCCGTCTCTGCCTCGCGGACCTTGCGGAATACCAGGACGTCTCCGCTTCCGGAAACAATCTCATATCCCTCCTTTTGTAGAGTGCTAAAGTAGGGGAAGAACTTGGTCGGGTTCGACAACCGGAGAATCACCTCCGCCGGCGTTAACGGTGTTGCGCTGTCGGGGACGACTGACGCGGTCTCGGCCGTGTTGATTGCCTGCATCGTCGGGTCGTATGCAAGAATCTTGTAGATGGTGGGTTCCCGAGGTGCCTGGGTTGTGGTCGAGGACACCACGCCCTCGCTCTTGGCGGCGGCAACGGCCTCCTGTGCGGTTGAAGAGGCATTGGCCATGGCATCCGTCACGGTTCCATATGTTCGAACGTAGGAGGGCCAGGTCTGCTTGCCACCGCACTCCTCAGAGTAGCTCACCTCAAGGCCTTGAGGCTCTTTTGAATACTGGTCAATTTGACCTCTCTTTCCCGCAATGCGGGTGGTCCTGAAGGAAGATGACCGGTCCAGGGATGGCTCCAGCTTGTGCTCCAGACTCGGAAAACTCTCATCAAAGGATGCAGCCTCAACCTCATCTTGATTGTGGCTCTCCTCAACCTTTTGACTGTCCGCGGCAGCCGCCACAATGTCGTTCCAATTCCGTGAAAAGTCTTCAGGAAAGTCCCTGACGTAGTTGCCAGTGAGACTCTCCTTTTTGGAGGGAATATGATCCCACGCCTTGTTTCTCGACTGCCGCACTGCAATTCGCGCAGCTTTACTTGAGATATCCCAGTTCACGGCATACCGGGGAAGATCGGCCTCGAGAATCTGTCTGTTCGTCGTGCTGTACTCTCTCCGGGACTGGCCCGACGACGTCGGAATTTTGGCCCGAACATCGCTGGCACGGAGCAAGTCCAAGTCGTCGGCTCTCTCCTTCTCTGATGCCTGAGCAAAAGATTTGCGTCTGTTTGCCTTGGCAGCAATCTCTGCATCAAAGTCACCCAGACCCTTGGATACAGGGTCAATGACCTGGGTAGGCTGCCCATCCGGCTCGTTGTATCGGAAAGATTCGTACTGCTTGGCCTCTTCAAAAGCTTTCTGATCCCAGTCATTCTTAGGGCGGTGGCTTTCGGGCTCGTTGTACTGCACAGGCTGATGTTTGGCCTCATCTTCAGGCTCAACCGCTGCAATGACACTTTCTGGCGGCGGTGCATCACCACGTTTGAACTCTTTAGAGTATTTTCCCAGATCCTTGTACTGCTTTGAGGCTTCCTCCGGGTGCATCGGCGGTTTGCCGTGAGGCTCATTCCAGCCAACGGGGTTGTAGGCATCGAGGTCCGTGTATGCCTTGGACGCCTCTTCTGGGTGCATGGGGGCTTGTCCGTGGGGTTCGTTATAAGACATGGGGCCATATTGGTCCAGATCAGTGTAGGCTTTGGAGGCTTCCTCGGGATGCACGGGACGCAGACCCGAGGGTTCATTGAAAGAATGCGGGCGATACTTGTGAAGGTCGTCATAGTCTTTTGACTTCTCCTCGTTGGAACGGGGGCGCAATCCCCCAGGTTCGTTAAAACTGCTCGGTCCGTACTTGTGGAGGTCGTCATAGGACTGTGTCTCCTCCACAACGTCCTTCTCGTTATGCATGATTGGGCCGTACTTGTGGAGGTCGTCGTAGGGCTGTTTCTCCTCCACCACATCCTTCTCGTTGTGCATGATGGGACCATACTTGTGCAAATCTGAATATCGCTCGTACGGCTCCGGAACTTCTGCACTCTCATTGTGCATCACCGGGCGGTACTTGTCGAGGTCTTCGTATGCAGGCTGGGAGAGCTCCTCAGGGGGGCCATCGATCAGTGTTGGGTTGGCATACTTGCCGAGATCCTCATACTTGGGCGTCGCGTCTGCCTCCTCCAAGAAGTCTTTTAGACCAACAGGTGTGTATTTGGCCAAATCATCGTACTTCGGCTTCTCGGAAAGTTGCTTAGCATCAAGCTTCTCATCCATGACCGGCTTGTACTTGTCGAGATCCGCATATTGTGGGGTCTCCACAACTCCACTACTGGACCCAGCTTCGGCCCACGGGGCACTGTCAATCGTGACATTGCCATACTCTTTGAGTTCGTCGGCTGGGGGGACCCCGTCTGGGAAGAATGGCTCTTGGGTGTTTTTTTCTGAAGAGTTGTCAAAAACCGACTGGGGCGCATGCGAAGAGTGCATTCTTCGGTTCGTAATCGGGTCGATGTTAGGTGAAACGTCGCGACCGGCAGCAGCCGTATACTTGCTCCTGGTCTGGCTACCGAGATAATTGCGAATGTTTTGCAGAGGGGACTGCCACAGGTCATATTCCAACGGATTGGCGCGCTTGCCGGAGAACAGAGCATTGATGGCACTGCGCTCGACGTCTTCAATGTTCTGGCCGGGCCGGGTGCCCGGGTTTTCGCCCGATGCACTCTTTTTCACCTCCTCCTCTCTCACATATCTGCCACCGGAGCGGGTATGGCCTTGTCTGATCCAGCACTGCGCCAACATCTTCTTCATCACGATTCTCGAATCTTGAGCACGCGAGTTTGGGTCCCAGGACAGCTTGCGATTGATCGATTCCATGTACTTGTATTTAATATGGCGCTGACGAAGACGTAGCTGACGCTGGACATCGGGATCCAGGTAGGACGACCACGCACCGAAGCGGAAGGCGCGAGTCTGGCCATAGTGGCTGGCCCTCATGGGTGTTTGGTTCGAGGATACCAATGATCCCACCGAGGAGGCTCTGCCAGGGTAGAGACCGCCCGCACGAGGCGAGGAGCGAGAGACGGTGGCGAGCATGACGATGGATTTGAGCTTTGTGCCTTTACCATGCTCCCGAGACTGATCACATCCAAATGTCAGCGAAATGTGATTCCAACGAGCGCGGTCGGAAACTGCGGGCGCGTCGTGCTTTCTCGAGGGTAGAGAGTGGTCGGCCAAATGCGGCAGCGAGTACTTGGACTCGAGCGCACGTGAATAAACCGGAACGACTTACACGAGGGAGAAGTGAGGGGGAGAGCTTCTCGAATCACGACCCGCATGTAGGCTGTAAGACACGATGTTGCTTGAAACGTAGAGTTGAAAAGGAAAGAATTGAAATCTCAATCCGCCACCTTGGCGATGTTCAGAGAGAGGCGAGCAAGGTTGGAAGGAAAGAAGTAGCGAGAGTTCAAAAGGTAGTGGACGGATAGAATGGACCGATGGCACAAGACGGGCCAGAGGGAGCAGCAAGCGGCAATCAGCTGCGACTGGCCGGGTTGGGACGTGGACCAGGTGGTAGGTCGCAATGGGGGAAGGTGGGATCCACAGTTACCGCTCCCTAGCGCTGCTCCCGCAGTGAGCCGGGTGGGCTACCGTGGGCACAGTGGGCTGAGAGCCACTGAGGTGCGCGCCTGGGTGGAGAGCTTTCAGCAGGCCAGTTTGCGGGGTAAGCCTCTGTGCAGTGTGCAGTGTGGACAGTGGCCCTCTTGCCCGAGGAACGCTTGAAACCGCCGAACGACCCCGAATTGGTGCAACTGGCCAGTGACGCAGGTGCTGAGTTCCGCCAGTGGCTGGAAAGTGGAGCAATTTGAAGCTGTGATGAATGCGGCCCAATCGACGCGAATGGATAAGGTAGGGGGCAGATTAGGTAGGTACCTCACACCTGGGCAGTGTGCACGGGTGAAGCCAGAAAGTGACTGAATCACGTGTGTAGATTGCTGACCTAAGACCAGCTGTCTGAGAGCACGGATATGCTTACCTAAGACAGGGCATGACAGCATCATCAGAGGGAGCTTTGGCGGGGCATCTCATCCGTTTTCATTCGCCGCGGCCAGGGATCAAATTGTTCACTCGGCCTGAGTCAACTCGGCGCTGCTGCTCTTTGCGGCGCAACGAGTCTCGCCCCTTCTGTGATTGCGACCCGAACTTTTTTCTTTGGAATCGACTTCATATGGTCATCATTTGTATTCACTAGATACCTACCTTGGGGGGAATACAGTCGGAGAAAGCCTTTCTTTTTCTTATAGACTTTGCATACCACTTCCGCTACCAATCCCTCTCGCTTTCTCTTCGATCTCCGATACCTCGAACGAGAAATTAAAGGTGGTGCCCTGCCCGCCGCATTTCGCATTTGTGCACTGTAAATCGTAACTACCCCGCCAACGTCATTTTCGAGCTTTCCAGTTGCCTCCTTGCGCCGCGCGAACTCCTGCACTGAGCTGCACCAACATCTTCGACAATAACACCTTCAACATTACCTTCATTCACACTAGATCATGTCGCGTGCCTTTGGTAGAAGCGGCCGATCATCCGGCGCGAGGGGTTTTGGCAGTCCAGCGCCTGGTGGCTTCAGCGGCTTCTCCTCCGCTGGTGGTAGTGGTCTATCCTACCTCTCCGAGCCTCCCGACTTGACCTCCATATCCGATGCGAACGTCGTTGTTTCCTTCAAGAACGCCCTCAAGAAAGATGCTACAACAAAAGCCAAGGCGCTGGAGGACCTCCTCGCCTACGTACAGGCTCACCCGTTCGAAGCGGAAGGAGGTGTAGAAGAGGCCATCTTGGAAGCATGGGTGCGTTATTCCCAGGAGACTATATGGTTTGATGATCATGTGGTAATTTGTGTAATAGGTCCAAATATACCCTCGCATTTCGATAGACAACTCTCGCCGCGTCCGCGAACTCTCCCACACCCTGCAGTTCGAGTTGATGAAGTCGGCACGGAAGCGCATGGAAAAGCGCGTACCGAAAATCGTCGGGACCTGGCTCGCTGGCTTATATGACAAGGACAGAGTGGTGTCGAGGGCGGCCAATGATGGCTTCTCCTCGTTCCTCAGCAGCCCAGAAAAGGTCGCGCTGTTTTGGAACAAGTGCCAGTCACAGATCTTGACATATGCGACCGACGCTATCCAGGAGACCAAGGACACCCTCAGCGACGAACGATCTACGACAGCCGACGATGCCGATGTTAAATATCTACGGGTAGTAGGCGCGAGTCTCTCTCTTGTACTCGGTCTCTTACAAAAGCTCGAGTCGACCGACATTCAAAAGGAAGAGGAGGCGTACGATACCTTCTTCGCCGAAGAGAAGGTCTGGAAGAGCGTGGTCACGGGCGACAGTTCGGTCAAGAAGACGGCGTGCCAGCTGTTATGGGCGTGTCTCGACAAGAGGCCCGACTCCGTATCCTCCCAAATTTCCCGCCTGAAGAAGACATTCGTTGCCGAGGGACTCAAGAGCAGCCAAGCAGGATCGGCTGTCGAGTATGTCAGGGTTCTCACAAAGTTGACGACCAAGTTCCCCGAGGTTTGGACGAGCTCGAGCGAGAAGAAGACCCCGATTACCAGGCTGAATGGATTCTTGGAGAAGGGCTCCCAGAGCAGCTCCGCCAAGTACTGGGAGCACCTCGAGCACCTGATCAAGGCCATCCCAACCGAGCTCTTCACGGTCGATGCTTCAGCCGACGCCCTCAAGTCAATGAGGACAGGTATCACAAGCAGAGAGGAGCCGCGGATGAACTCCACCGCGGCGTGGACCTGCTATGCCAGAACTACCAAGCACCTATTGCAAACCTTTGCTTCCGACAGTCAGAGGGCAACGCTTGTTCAAGAGCATCTATTCCCTCTGATCGAGCACTTCCTCTTACCGACACCCGAAAACTCGTCATGGGAGATTGGCGGGAATGGACGGCTTCCGGTGCTGGGAGAAGTATACGGTGTCTCTGTCGGCTCGTCATCCGGGGAACTGACCAAGGCAACAACTGACAAGTTGGGGCTGCTCTCGTCGGCTTTCTGTACCAGAATATCCAGCTCACTCCCAGAGGTTTCAAAGGACTACGAAAAGTCTCAAGAAGCTATTGCTTCAGAGGGCACTCGCTGGTTCACTCTCGTTGGTCAAGTTCAGAAGGCAAACCCCACGGACAGTCTCTTCATCGAGCCTTCAAGGGCTATCATCAAATGCAGCGTGGACCTCCTGGCAACCAGAAATCTCAAGCCATATGGGGCAGCTGCAGTACTCTACAGTGTGGGTAAGAACGCTCCGCGTGTGCGGAAGGACGCAGAAGCTGCCCAAGCCCTGGAGCAATTCCTGTCAACGCAAGGCCGGGATCGCATGGACGTCTTGATGGCTTCACGGTCTGGTCCCGATCTGCTGAACTGCGTCAATGTCCTTGGCACTCTGGAGGGACAGGAAGCAGCTTACGCCAGTATCTGGAAGACCTGGATCGAAGCTATGTTGAGCCTGTCCGATGACTCGCAGGCCGTCAGAGGCATCGAACGTCTCATTGCGAACCAAAAGGCGTCAAAGCTCTCCCAGTCACACGAGCAGCTCCAAAAGTTCATCGAATCTAAGTGCTCCAGCACAGCCCGCGGAGAGCTGGATGCCTGGAGTCTGTTCGAGGCAGCCTTTGGCAACGATGCCATCGCCGATTCGACGGCCAAGCAATTGGTAGACAACAGCGTGTTGGCCTTGTCGCAAGACAAGCAACACTCTGTCAAGGCCCTTCGCTCCCTGGAAATCATTACGAACAACAAGCCTGGACTCTTGTCTCAGGACGAGTCAACGCACATGGCGGTTGTGACTGAGCTATTGGGACTTGCCGAACTGAAGGACAGAGCAGTCTCTTCGCGTGCGACCTCGTTGAGGGCGCTACTGGAACAGCCCACCGATGGCGCATCGCCAGTCGTTACCATTATCCAGAGTAATCTCGAAGACGCTGGGCCACAGTCACTCGGCGTCGAAACACTGGTTCAACAAGCCCTCCAAGCGTCCCAAGCTGGGTCTGTCGCCATCGAGGACCTGTTCCCGAGCACGAACATCTGGATGCAGCAGCTCTCAAAGTTCTTCCAGGCCAAGCTTAACCCGTCATTATCGATCACTAGCGGTCTGGCGGGCGCTCACTTCCTCGTTCAACCTACCGAGTCAGACCAGCGCCTTCGTGTGCGCAGAGACCGAGACGGTCTCTCCATCCCAGCAAGAATGGCATCCTACACCTCGAAGCTCTTGTCGTCGGACATTTCAGTCTCCAGTCTGCCTGACAGCTTCCAGGTCGAGCTGCTCTACCTCCTTTGTGTCTCGGTTCAGATGGTGTCAGACCAGATCACACTAATGGACGAGAACAAGCTGTTCCTGAACCTCGAGATGGGAGATGCCCTTGCCTCGGCTGAATCGTTCGTCTCTTCCACTCGCGTAACCATCAACGTCATCGCCGATGAAGCCAAGGGATGGAGAGACGGCTCAGAAGCTGGCTCGACGAAGTTGGTCAACGGTCTAATCGCCATCATGACGCAAGAGACGAAGGAGCTCACTCCGTTGGGAGTCTACAGCTCTAGAGCATTGAGCGACCTCTTCCAGACTCTTGCCGAGAAACACGGTTTCCCTGTGACTGGAGACGAAAAGATCAACCAACTGGCCACTCTCAAGGCCACGCCACCAACAATCCTGGCAGCGACAGCTGTGCTCGCCGGCTTCGGTGAGAGCCTGGAATCCTCAAACGCCATTAACAACCTGTGCAACCGTCTTGTTAGTGACATTGCGGGCGCCAGTGTTGAGCCTGAAAAGGCCGAGAAAACGCTGCTTGTCCTCGTCCTCCTCAACGCATGCCTGCAAGTCTACGAGGTCGGCGAGGTTCCCGTGGCCAACAACCGCATCGTCTTTGCTGTTCGCCAAATCACGTCTTGGGTGGACGATATCCCTAATCTCACTCCCGCGCTGTCGGCCGAGATCTGCAGATCCTTGCAGAGGCTGCTCCCCTGCATGAAGGACGTATACGGCTCATACTGGGAAAAGGCGATCGAGTTCTCCACCGCGCTATGGGCAAGGGCCTCCGACGACCGCCTCGACTACTCGCTGCCGTACATCCACGCATCGCTGAAGCTCATGACCGCCCTAGAGACACTATCGGAGCCAAACGACGACCTCGTGGTCGCCATCAAAGAGTTCGCCGAAACCAAATCCCTCTCCCTCATCGAGCTCCTCAAGCTCGACCGCGAAAAGACCACGCAGCCCCTCGAGATCGTCGACGCCATCATCTGCAGACAAGTCAACAAGATCCCCCTAAAGCACGTCACAGACCTCTCGGACCTCTACGGCCTCATCGCCGCCGACTCCCGCTCCATCCAGACAGCGGCCTTCAACCTCCTCCACTACGCCCTCCCCGCCCGCCAGGAAGAACTCTCCGTCAACGTCCTCCTCGACAAGACCGACGCCCGCCTCCCAGACGAACTCCTCTCCCTCCTCGACGCACCCACGCTAGATCGCTACCCAGACGAAGTCCTCGCGCAGTTTCCCCTCGCGATCCGCTCCTACCTGCTCTCATGGCACCTCATCTTCGACGCCTTCTCCACCGCCTCCCTCAAAGTCCGCCAAGACTACACGGAGCACCTCAAAACAGAAAATTACATTGCCCCGCTCATGGACTTTACGTTTGACGTGCTGGGCCACTCGGCCGCGCACCCGCTCAACCTCGAGCGCGAGGGTCTGACGACGCAGCACCTCACCTCGTACAGCGTCTCCCTCGCCGACGCTGAGCCCGACGAGCGGAACCTGCATTGGCTGCTCGTGCACCTGTACTACCTCACCCTGAAATACACACCCGGTCTCTTTAAGACGTGGTACCTCGACTGCCGCTCCAAGCAGACGCGCATCGCAGTAGAGGGCTGGATGACGCGCTACTTTTCTCCCATCATCGTCTCGGACGCGCTCGACGAGGTGGCGGCATGGGCAGCGGCCCAGGACCCGCCCGCCGACGAGGACGAAAAGGAGCTCGTGGTGAAAGTCAGCAAAGCGTCGAGGGAGATCACGGCCGGCGTCGAGGTCGACGAGAGCATGGCGTCTATTGCCGTCAAGGTCCCCGCGAGTTATCCGATTGAAGGCGTCTCCGTCGTCGGGATCAACCGTGTCGCCGTCAACGAGCGCAAGTGGCAGAGTTGGCTTCTCACGACGCAGGGCGTGATTACATTCTCGGTAAGCTTACCTCCCAATCTCCTAACCCATTCTATCAGTCGAAATACTGACCACCACAAACAGAACGGAAGCATCATCGACGGCCTCTCCGCCTTCCGCCGCAACATCGTCGGTGCCCTCAAGGGTCAATCCGAGTGCGCCATCTGCTACTCCATCATCTCCACCGACAAGCGCATGCCCGACAAGCGGTGCTCGACGTGCAAGAACCTCTTTCACCGCACCTGTCTGTACAAGTGGTTCCAGAGCAGTAACCAAAACACGTGCCCGCTGTGCCGTAACCCGATTGATTACCTGGGTCAAGATACCAGGGCGCGCAGGGGGCAACAGTCGGATTATGTGGTCTAAGGTAGCTCCCTCACGCGCAATGCGGTTGTGAGAGGATTCCAAAGGGAAAGGGGAACAGAAGAAGGTCAGATGAGGAAGATGAGGTCAAGAAGATGGAAAGTATATTCTCTTGTAAAATCATGTTCTAGAACGTATCGAAAAGAGCAAGCAAAAGGCTAGAATGCCAGGCGTAGATAGATGACAAAAAGCAGACACTTTCAAAAATGCAAGATTCCCAACAGTCCGTAAACCCGCGTAACACCATGGCACCATCCAGCTCAAATCAGCCTATCGAGACCCTCACGAACCAACTTGAGAATATCCTCGGCCTCCCGGATATGTCGAAGGCGCAGCTCCTCAAGAGACAGAGGGCCCGGTTTCTCTGGGTTGAATCTCAACTTCTCCTTGACATCCGTGATGGGCTCGACACATACAGGAACAGACTCCTCATCGGCATCGCTCATATTCGTATCGGATTCGACAACGTCGGAGACTAAGCATTCGTCCATACTCGTGTCGGAGTTGGTGGTTTCCGGGACGTCCTCGAGAATGGCCATCGGGATGACCTTCCCGAGCCTGTTGGCCCACACAATCTGAGAGGAACGCCTGAGAGATTCCTTACGGAGCCGCGTGGTGCTTTTGGTGACGCGAGCAGGCTGTTGCCGGGTGGCCAAGACCCTGTTGGCGATGGCACCCGGCCCCCTCTCTCGGTCCTCTATCTGTCTTTGACGTCTCTCGTTGTTCCTGCAATTTCGGCATTCCGATTCATTATTACCTTTCTCTGTAGAGACATACCATATGCACTCGTCACACTTCACCATACAACCAGCTTTCACACAATCCTTGTGGTATTTGTGTTTATCTCGGGAACAATGGCGGGGGATTTTGCCTCCTGCTGTTCTTTTGGACACGCTGTTGATGGCTGGTATGGCATCGCTCTTTCTTCTATCATCTCGCCTTGACCCCTCGGATTGGCCCTTGAGAAGTTTTGTATCCGGTGCGTTCTGTTTGCCCACATTCGCGCCGTCATAGGTTTTTACTTTTTTCGGGCCAGAAGATGGGCGATCTTTTGACCTTTTGATGCCGAGGGGGGCCATTGTTTGGCAGCTTTCTTCAAACTTCCGAAGTGCGTATGAGACTAATAGTCGCTGAAATGACTTGGAGTTGCGAGATGGGAAACGTTGAAATTGACGCGGTTCGATGATGAGGGCGCGCAGGACCGCAGACATTAATACCCCGTGCGAGATTCCGAGGCCTTTGTTTTTCGACACTGAGACTTCGTCGCAGCGCTCTAAAGGGTTTCAAGGCTCGCGGGGCTCAATGGAGGCCAAGGACACAGAGCGACGGCCTTGTATATACCTGCAGCACAATGTGGCCCTTCTTTCTTCGACGGCCCAAAGGCTAAAACCGACCCATCTTCGAATACACCTGCGCTTCATCACGTTGTCCTCGAAGACTAGGTGGTCTTCTATGCTTGGCCTTCTTCAGCATCTACCATGAATGTGTGCTGTAAAGCCTATCGTGTAGTTAGCAAAGCAATTGCTTCGGGTGAAAGAGGTCTTTGCAACTCACCTGCTCAGACGTAGCCCTCTTGGAGTCAAAGCGCACCAGGCTCGATATCAAGTCTCGAGCTTGGGGATCAACCTCGGGGAGAATGTCTGTCCACGGTTGGCTGTCAAACATGCGGTACATCTCAAAGGGCGGCGTCTTGAAGCTTGCGGCCTCGGGCCAGGTCTCGCGTGTCGGCGTGCCCAAGGTTTTAAAAATGCTCAAGATCAGACCCAGCTGGTTACCGTCCTCGTGGGCTGGCCTTGATTCAAACAAGAGCTTTGAGGGGCTGCGACAGCACTCGGCCAGCATGACCCCAGCCGCCCACATATCGACAGAAGGACCGTAGGCTTTATCGCCAAAGAGTGCTTCAGGCGCTCGGTAGGGGCCAGTTCCGATATCCAGAATCTTGGATTTGGCCGGCTCTGAGACAATGGACATGGTTGGGTGCCAGGCTGTACCAAAATCAGAAAGGTATGCTGGCCCATCCGGGCCGTCGAGCAGGATGGCCTCGGGTTTGACGTCTCGGTGTATGATTCCTTGGCTGTGAATGTCTACAAGAGCAGTGAATATGTCCTTGAAGAGACGTCTAACCTGAGGCAATGGAATGGTTCCTTTGTCAATGACGTCGGCAAGTGTCATGGGCTTGTAAGGAAACACCAAAACAAATCTCTGTTCTTGGTCCCTGAATGTTTCCAAAAGGGGAATGCATGGTCGTTCCAAGGTCGCTAGAATCTTGGCCTCGCGTTGCGGATTGTGAGGCTCAATGTTGTGCGTTTCCACAATGACCTTGAGAGCTCGGTCTTTGCATCGGTAGACTTCTGATGTTAGGCCACTTGCAAATGGAATGCAGTTTTTGTAAGAACCAATGGTGACGCCGGCATCTTCAGGTTGGTTATCAGCAGGTGCCGAAGCTTCTGGGCGAGACAAATTGGCTGAGCCGACTAGCTGACAGATTTCGTCGTATTGAGCCTCACATTGACATGTAAGCGTTGGACCCAGGCAAAAGATGCGAGATAGGGCGGGGGACTCACTCTGGATGACGAGTCTTTATAAGCCTGATTTTCTACAGCAAATGCGTCCGACTGTGAAGTGGCTTTGGCATCCGGACTAGCTGCTTCCAAAACAGACTTTCTACGGGGAATTTGGTGTAAGTATGGCTTGAATGCATGTTGAGGGTCTGTGACTTGCATCCTCTGAATGTTTTCATATCGATCTGACGCCGATAATGGCGTCCTCCAGTCGTTGTCTGCCATGAGAAGCGAGCGGCTGTCGAGGACGGAAGTCGGCGTGAGGTGGATGAGCAAGGATGATGAGCGTTGGATGGTTGTGCACTGGCGTCGCTTTCAATTGACTGTTCTTAGTGAGCGCCAAACAGGAAGAGATGAGGCGTCATTGCACCTTTCGTTGATGATCCCTGACGCAGCCAGGAAAGAGCGCAGTCAGACAGAGCTACGTACCGTGTGAGAAAATGGAAGCCGTGGACGGTGGAAGGACTCTCCGGGCCGGACCCGCCGGTGTGGACCTTGCCCGCCCGGAAGACAGCGTTCGCACAGTGCGGATTTGCTGCCTCGTTTTCGAGGGGAAAGAAGGAAAAGGAAGAGCATCCAAGGTAATGAGCTTACATAATACCTGGCTGGGCATCGCAATTCCGGGTACCTGACGAGGGGCGTTCCATGGCGTCAAAATATGTCTTTAATTATTTCTTCGACTCAATCTTAGCTTCTCTCCTAGCCTCACGAGGCGTAAGGATTATCATGGTCTTTTACAGCGCTAATGCGCACCACTCTTGGGTCTCACTTTGCGCAGTCCTTGGAGGGCTGCCGGTAATAAGTCGCGCCAGAAAGGGCCCTTTTTTCTCAGCACTTACACATTGGTGGGTAGTGTTCTGGCTTCGAGATCCTTGCGATTAAACCAAGGGCCAAAATAAAACTTGATGCGCAGCTGACAACCTGCAAGGATGGTGCGGCTGAGTCATATCCTTTTTTTCTTTTTTCCCTTTCCCTCTTGCGCTCGCTGGCTTGGTCTCCGCGGGTTCAGATTGAATTTCGATCAGAGACTTTACGCGGGCGCGACACGTCAGGGCACTTCCCGTCATCTCATACAGGCACCGTTCCTCTGAACCTTGCTTGGAGGATGCGGGATGCTAAACAGGATCAACGTGACTAAGGCAACGTGGAAGCAGGGAAGCTGCTTAATGTTGACGGAATGTGGTCTGGGTTATGCAGCCCGCCGCCGCCGTTGTTTCCAGCATTAGGGGGGACGAGCGGTGCCATGGTGCTTACCTGCTTCAGTCTTCATGTAAGTGTATGTCTTGCCTGCTGTAGGTACTCTTGTCAGCTTCAGAAGAGGGCTTGTTGAAGCTGAAAGACTCAATTGGGTTCTTCCTCGGTTGCCAACTTGCGCTGAGAAGTGTGCTAACTTGGTCTGTAAAGTGCGTGACGTATTTGCAGAACTCCCCTCCGAGCTAGCCTGTTTCGACTACAGGAGCCTTGTCAGACCCAAAGCTCAGAGAGATGAGGGTGGTTGGTCAGTGTGGAACTGGAGTTGAGATGTAATTCATCTCTCGTAGCACGGATGAGCTGTGAAGGGAACTAATTGACCCAGCTTATTCTCCTATCGAATGTATACTAGGATGACTAGAATAAAGAAGAGGAAAAGGAGAAGGGTAGCGATTATTCCTGGTTACTATAGATAATCTCCGCAGCAGAGTTGTGGATGAGTGTGAATTTGATGGATGGTGTGTCCTTGTCCGCAGGTCCCGGGCCAATTGTCCCATCAGAATCCAATAAATTCAAATCAGGCGCCAGTGGAACATGCGCTGAACCTTTGGTCACGGAGAGGCTGCACTCGGGCCAATTGGCGACGCATTCGAGAAGAGAAAAAGGTACGTGAGACATCTCAAGGATGAGGTTGGATGACATTGACACCCAGGTGCCAGTGGGAGACCAAGGAGGCGTCGAGGCCACGCAGCAGCATTGAACAACGTAAAGCAAGAGGCAGCATTAGACGGGACTCGCCACGTTGCGTTGAATGCAGTTGACGCGTCTTGGTATTGATCGAGGCTGCTCATGTTCACGTACTGTAAGAAGGTAAGGTAGTGTACATTGAGGTATTCGTACTTGGTAATTGCATCGTCCAAGTCCGACCTGTGAATGTATGTACTTCGTACCAAAGAAATCCCAAGTCCAGCGCAGCTCATGCCCCCCCCCTCCCCCCCCCCGGTCCGGTCCTCTCCACACTTCATCATCAGCCCAAGACTAAATATAAGAAGACGAAAACAAGTCACTTTTCGCTGTAAATAGTGGCTGAAAGTGACTTGTGGCTACCAGGAGTTCTTCCCGGCTTTCCATGGAACCAATCCAATGGAAGGGCCCACTCTCCCACACATCACTGGCGACTACGGAGTACGGAGAGGTACCTTAGATAGGTACGGATACCTTACGGAGAATGGAGTACCTACGGATACCAAGTACAGTCGTATGCACCCTGCTGCACCTGGTGACTGCCTGACCTTCCTCTTCTTCGGCAACAGCAGCGACAGCCTGCGCCATTCCTTCCTGCCTTATTGTTCCAACCATCCACTCAATTCCCGCCGCCGCCGTCTCGCAGGACAACCCACCTTCCTCACACCTCACGACTTTCCCACGATGCGAATGCTCCTCACTTCGCCTACACCTTTTCCCGCATCATAGACAGCATCGCTATGCGCGCCTTTTCTCTCATTGCTTGCATTCATCGTACATGACTTTGCGCGCGCCGCACTAATTAGACACAATGGATGATCTCGCGAGGGCCGAGTACCCGGCCATGCTGGTAATGTTTCCCCCCCCTCTCCCCCATTCATTCCCGTCAATCCGTCACTATTTTCCCCAGTGGTGGAAAGGCCCTCCTACCAGGCAGAAGCCGAGGTCTGGCTGGCCTTCCACAATCCACTTCACTGCGACTGATGTACTTCGAATGCCTTGGAAGGAGCGCATTGTTTGCGACTTGGTTTGCTGACTATTGTTTCTCTTTGTTAAGGAGCACCTCCAGCCCATGCAGGCCGTGAACGTCCTTACCGATCGTGTGAAGAGAATAAACAAGATCAACACCGAGATCGCAGACTGGTTGCAGGTAAGGAAGGCACCGCCCACAATGACTACAATGCGACCGCATACGACAATCCCATGCTGAACAATACCCCCCACTCAGGAACGCCGCCGAGTCGAAGATCAATACGTCCAGAGCCTCAAGAAATTGCTGGCCTTCAAAGTCCCCAACAGCTCGTCTGAGCTTGGGTATGTTGCCCTGAACCATTGCGTTTGACTCTCAGGCGTAGGACCGTATACTGATAAATTGTGTAGCGTCTTTTCCGGCCCCTGGGACAAAATCCTTCAATCCGTCGACTCAACTGCCCACTCCCACCACGTTTTCGCAAGCCAACTCGAAAAAGATGTCGAGGGTCCCCTGCGCAACTTCCAGTCCCGCAAGGAGATGCAGAACATGCAGACCATCACCGCCAACTTGACCTCCATGGCCCGAGACCTCGAAGATGCCCAGAAAAAGACCGAAGCCTTGGCCCGCAAGGGCCCGAAGACGAACACCCAGAAGATGGCGGATGCCACGGCGAGACTAGAGTCTGCCACCCAGCACTGGGATTCACAGGCCCCCTTCATCTTCGAGACCCTACAAGCCCTCGACGAGCAACGCGTGAACCAGCTGCGCGACCTGCTGACGCAATACGAGACCCACGAAAGCGACCAGGCGCAACGGAACCAGAGCCGGGCTGCCGATACCCTGGCTTCTATGCTGGAGATCCGCACTGAACAGGAAATCGCAAGCTTCAAGGAAAGGATTCTGTCTGGCAGACCGAGGTTGGAGAGGAGGGCCACGGCGTCTAGACAATCGTCCAATGCCCCAACGAGCCAGACCCTGGCACCGCCTCCACCGCCGCCCAGCAGTCTCGGCCACCACGACGATGACGCAAGCGAACACTCCGGTCTAGGCGAAGGAAAGAGTGGTATGCTGCACTATGGAATACTGTCTAGATAATAGGAGACTAACATCGAACACAGAGTCGAAGCTGCGAAGCCGCATCGGCACGATGCTCGGTCGCCGCCGACAGAGCGTCCACGGCGGGTTCGGTCAGATTTCCCCCGGAAAGGGCGGTGTCCCGTCTTTCGGCCGAGGCCTCAGCAGCAGTCATAGTAGCACTCACGTTCGCCCCGGACTTTCTCCCCGAGCATCGTCAAATAACCTCAACGAGACGAACAACCGGCTCTCTGCTCTTCCCGAGACACCCGACTCTCCCAGACCGCCACAGTCTTCCGGTACAGACGGACCACTCCACGAAGGAACCAACGGCTTCAGTAGCTTCCCATCAGATGGTGCTCGGTTGGGTTCTTCTGCTGGTCCCGTCAACGGAAACCATGATACCGATGCTTTGGATGTTGCTCCTCCACCCGGCCCTCCCCCGTCACGGGGCAAGGATTCCCAAGCCAAGGACGAGGAAGGCTTCACGATCCGACCACCCGATAACGATCCCATTTCTCAAGCACAGCGCGAGGCTGCCGAGGAGAATGAGCAGATGTTCAAGCTGAACATTGCGAGCTCACCCATCGCCGAGGAGGATGCCGATGCGAAGCAGGCTGCCATGTCGAATGTCGCAAACACGTTGACGCAGATGGCTGCCCCGTCACGCAAGTTGGGAACTGTGCGAGGACGGAGAGACGTAAGGAATACGATTTACGTGCCGCCTCCTAGCCTGCCCGAGTCTGAGCTCACGAACGAGAACCCATTCCCGACGTCGCCATCATTGCCAAGCCAGTCGTCCAAGCCTACGACCGTTGCTGCCCTCACGTCCGAGGCAAGCATCGCCGCAACATCAGATACGCAGTCAATCCGCTCGGCAAACTCCCTTGTGAGCCTAGCGCATCTGAAGCATCCCGAAATGCACGAGCCTGGACTCAATGCCTCCGTCATTGAAACGGTATCGGCAACCTTTGAAGATGGAACCGTCAAAAGCGCCAAGGTTCACGGTGAAATCGCTTTCGCCTACCACGCAACTGGTGATGCCCCGCAAGGTCAGTCAAACCTACATTCAGCTAAATTCAATTGCTAACTTTCAACAGAACACGAGACGATTAGGATTAACAACTCCCCTAGCCTGGAAGTTATTGGACCAAACCGCATCTTTGTTCAGAACAGCCCTGCAAAGTCTGACGAGTTCAACTTGGACGTGTCGCATCTCAATAAGACATCTACTGCGTTTACGTATAGGGTACACGCTGGCGATGCCGATGGCTCCGGTCTGGCAGCGCAAGTTCCTCTGATGATCCGCCCGGCTTGGAAGCCGCAGGGTGACAAGCTCGGACTTCTCTTGCAGTACTCCCTCAACCCCGCAAGTAACCTTACGGCTCCTGTTACACTGCAGAACGTCGTATTCGTCGCCACATACGAGGATGCCAAGGCTTCAGGTGCCCAGACAAAGCCGACTGGAACGCATTTGAAGGACAAGCACCTGGTGTACTGGCGTCTTGGCGACTTGACTCTCACAAACGAGACCCAAAAGATTGTGTGCCGTATTGTGGGAGCCGAGAATGCGGAACCCAAGCCTGGCCACATCGAAGCTCGCTGGGAGCTTACCCCGGAGACTTTGGGTAGCGGAATCACCATCTCTCGACTCGAAGAAACCAAGGGCAAGGGCAAGGACGAAGATGCCGACCCCTTTGCCGACGACAACCCGACCTCGCCGGCGCTGCCAGCTGATCAGCAGTGGGTGGACGTGAATCTGGTGAAGAAGATTACAAGCGGCAAGTACGAGGCCAAGTAATCTCTGCAGCCATGAACCTTTTTTAATGAACAAGATGTGGTGCGTGGTGTACATACCCGTTCAAAGTGGTAGACTTTGTATTGCCATTGGAAGACAGACCATTTTACATAGCGAGCGCATGGCAGGAGAAGGAAAAGAAGACACACCCCCGGATAATCACTTTGTCTGGCTGGCTGGTCACTTGTTGAAATTTTTTTAAACCTCCCCATATTCTGGTGTTGGATTTTCGAGGAGCATGATCTCGCGTTGTGGGATCATCCCTTTGATGACGAGGACGGACGTTTTTGTGAGGGGGCTTGTAGGTAGTTTCTGTACCGATATGAAGAAAAGAGAGACTTTCAAGATATCGGCTGTGCCTTTTCTTATAATTACCAAGTAACTCAGGTGGTACTGGTGACTGGAGGTGAAATGCGAAGTGCAGAGTGCGAGTTTGAACAAGTAAAAAGCCATAGTATCATTAGGGATAACTATCCGTCAAGCATCTGAAACTCTCAATACCGCAGTGTTGGAGGTGTGAGGTTGGAGGTATCATCGTGATATCAAAACATGTACAAGTCAGCCTCCCCATCCCAGGCCATCCCTCTCCCGTTCCTCTCTCTCTCTCTCTCTCTCTCTCTCCACACTCCTCTTCTTCGTCGCGTCACGCCTTGGCTAGGTAGTAGTAATAAAAATATGTAAATCGGGGAGAAGCAGCTTCCTCGCCGTGAATACGCGAGAAACAACCCTCTCGTCTCTTTTCCCCTTCACCCTAGACGCTCTGCCGTGTATTCTCTGTGACAACTGTATGTAGCAAGCAGTCCAGCAGCCGGCAGTCGAGTCTCTTTACTCAGTCTGCATCTGGTTCCTCGAATGCTCTTCATAAAACTCCAACGTTAACGCCGCCAAAAACCCAGGAATACACCCCTTCTCCCTAACCCAGAACCCAATCTGATCGCCAATCCTCCGTGCAAACGCACTCCGCGGCCCGCCACCGACCTTCATCGTCCCCTTTTCGCCGTCAAATACGATGGAATTCTCATACTCGTCCGTCTGGGAAGGGTAAAAAGTCGACTCGACGCGCATTTTACCGTTGGGCATAAACATGACGGTCCATCCCAGCGTCGAGAAAATGGCCTCTTTGAACTCGAGGGATTTCTTAGACCACACTTCCTTGAGGCGTTTTGCAGATTTCTGGGCGGATGCGGTTTCCGCGCGGGCTTCCTCTACGAGACGGTCTGCTGCGTCGAGCTGGGATCGCGGGACGAGGTCTACGTTTTCGTTGGAGTTGAGCTGCGCCAAGAGGTCTGCGTTTTCCTGCTCGAGGGCTTTGAGTTTGGCGACTTTGATGGCTTCGTAATCTGACGTCGGGTTGGAGCGCAGAGACAGGACGCGGGTTTTGGATTGTGTTTTGAGGGCTTTGAGTTGGTCTTGTGTGACGGAGAGTTCCTTTTGGGTGAGAGCGTGTTGGGTTTGTACGGCGGCGAGCTGGTCTTGGAGTTTGCGGTTCTTGCGGGTGAGAAGGCCGAGTTGTTCTTGTGCGGCCGAGGGGTCGTCAATTTCGTCGCGCGGGCGCTTCGTTCCGGCCGCTGCTGGTGGTGCGTCTGGGGTGGCAAGTGGTTTGCCTGCTTCGAGGGAGGACATTTCCGTGTGTAGGGCTTGAACCTCGCTTCTGTACTTGTCGACGAGGTCCTCGAGCTCCTGGATGCGACGGGCGCGGGTCTCGTCGATGGCCTCGGGCTGGAACGCCTCGTCTTCGGCGTCGAACGTCTTGAGCTGGGCGCGGAGGTACTCTACCTCCTTGACGGCGAGCACGCGCTGGCGCTCGGTGCGGAGGCGGGTCTTGTCGACGTTTTGTGTTGTTACGGCGGATCGCGCCTCAGTGAGCTGAGATTTGAGAGTGGTGATCTCTTCCTCGCGGGACTTGATTGAGGATTCTTGCGCTGCCAGCTCGGCTTGCAGGGAGCCCATCTTGTCGAGCTGAGCGGCGTTTTCGTAGCGCTGCTCGACGAGGGCGCGGGCGACGGCTTCAGGGGAGTCGAATTCGAGATCGCCGCTGCCGTTGTCTGTGCTGGCGAGGTAGCCAGTCCAGGCGATACGTTCGTCCTCGAGGCGCTGGCGCTGGATGTGTGCTTCTGCGAGCTCCGTCTCGAGGGTCCGGGCGGCCTCGAGCTTACGTTGAAGGGATCGCTTCTCCTCTTCGACGACCTCGACGGCCCGGTGGATTTGACGGAGGTGCTTCAGCTCCGACAGCTGCTCGCGGTTTGTGGCCTCGAGGCTGCGGATGTGCGCAACCTGCTCAGAGAGCTCGCGCTTGATGATGGCCATGGTGTCGGCGTCGCCCGTCTGGGCCTTGAGGCGGAGGACCTCGGATTCGAGGTCGGCCACGTGGTTGTCCTTGTCCACCAGCTGGGACTGGATCTGCTGGAGGGCGGCCTCGCGGGCCTGGCTTTCTTGTTCGAGCTCCTGCGTCGACTTTTGGGCGGCTTGGAGCTGCATTTCGAGGTCGATGGTCTTTTTCTCGTTGATGCGCGCCGCTTCGTCCTTTGAGCTCGACAAGTCTTCCAATTGTTCCTGTAGTAAGCGGGCCTCCTCTTCCGCATCGCGCGCACGCTTCTCCAGACTCGTCTTTTCTTGGGCCACATTGTCGCGGAGGTCGCTCAACTCCTTTTGCGTATTCTCCAGCTGGCGCGCGGCCTGGGACTTTTCGGTCTCGGCGGCCTGTTTCGCCGTGAAGTCGGCCTGGGCGCGGCGGCGCTGGTCTTCAAGCTCGGCATTGTGTCGGGCGTCGGCCATCTGCTTCTCCTGCTCAAAGGTGCTGATGGTGTAGCGCAGGGTGCCCAGCTCGGCCTTGAGCTCCTCAATTACCTGGCGCTGGGACTCGTACTCGGCGGCGTCGGGGGGCGCCATGTTTTCTTTGGAGCTCTCGTGGGATGAGGCGCGGACGGAATCGGGGGCGGCGAGACTTGCGCGGGAACCTGGCCTGCTGTTGGCATCGCCGCCGGTGAAGAGGTTGTATGTTGGTTGTGTTGCGCGAAAAGTCTAAACCTCCGTTGTTAGCGAACCAACGTTTTCGTTTGTTTTTGTTTACTAGAGGCAACCAAACGTACCCTGGATTCTCTCAAGGAAGTATGAGGTCTGGGAAGAGCACTCCCGCCGGTGCTGTTGCGGAAACGGTTCGTCACGGAGGCGCGCCTCCCTGGAGGGTCGCCCGAGGGGGTATGCGACCTCATTGCGCCGCTGCTGTGTCGTAGAAGCTCCTTCTTCTCAACGCGCCCTGAGGATCGGCCAATGTTTTGGCGGTTGTTGACGGCCGGGGATGCTGGGGATGAGATCACGTGACGTAGCATGGAGGGCCCTGCTGATGGTGGTGTTGCTGCACCCCGCGGATTTGGCGTCCGCTGCTGCTGCTGATTTGCGACGCTGTTGGTTTCCCGCGGTGAGACGCGGGCGGGAGATCGCTGGCTCCTCATGAGCAGTATGCCGATTTCTTCAGCCTTTCTCGGGTCTTCGTCTTCATCTATCTTGTCGGACATGATGAGTTGCAGTGTCGGTTAATATACGATTCGAATCAAAATTCTGACAGTTAAAAAGTTGAGGATGTGCCATTAGCTGTAGAAAGAGATGATGTTTTGAGTGAGATGTATAGTTGTCTCTGTTTTGGTGCAAAATACCTTGATAGGTAGGACATGAAAGATTCAGATCGCTCCTTCCCTTTCATGATGGGCTGCTCCTGCCACTTCCCATTGCAAATCCATGCCTCGGTCTCTTAGTTACCTAGTCTACGTACCTTTTCTATCTCACCATAGGCAGAACCATCTCTAAAATCTTCCCTCAGACATGGAATTCCCACGACTTTTGCGAGATATGCGAGACGACAACGCAAGATCGGGAATCTCAAGTGAGGTTCTCAACTATTCAGCAAGACGGTTTTGCCATCCTCGCATCCACGGCATGGCACACACGAATCTAGCGCCATCTTGAGGAAAAGACGATTCTTTTGTTGCCATCAAACACTCACACTAAGACATCCACATGGCCTTTCAGTTCCACCATTGACCAGCTGCCTAGGTACCTCTCCTACACGGGTGTAAGACAGATATCAAAGGCTCTAGACCCTGTGACCCTGTGGCTCAGACAAGCAAACGGATAGAGAAAAGGTACCGGCACAATACTGGGGTCTTTGGGCGACAGGGAGCAGCTGCACCATGACGTGATGGGTACATCCCACATGCTGTGGGAGCTTGTTCCTGACTTGGCGCCAGCATTGACCAGGATCCACTCCGTGCCCTTGCTACTAAGCGTTGCTGTGCTCTCCGGTGCTCAGAAGCAGATTTCAACGATAGCTTCAACCTCCGGATTACCCCCCATTCCGCAAACCCCCAACAAACTCCCTAAACGCCCACGCCGAGCCGACCTCCCGAGCCTAGACGTCTACCATCACGATTTATCGATCGATCCGCTTGCGAAGGAGAAGCTCGGCCAATTGGGGCATACGAAAGGGGCGTTACTCAGCAGGGAAATCATTGTCCGGGACAACCGAGCTTGACACCATTGCGAATCCCCTTGACGAGGGCGAATCTACGACTACCCAGCCTTGCCTCTCGATCCGGACACTGGAAAGAGCTGTTGTGATTTTGGATACCATAGTCTATTGCTGGGCCGATTGGAATACCGAGCACAAGGCTGAGCCTGGCTGCGACGACTAAGCTTGACGACTGAGTCTAAGCCGAACTTGGTTCTAACCAGTTGCTCTCGCCTTGAGAACACCAGCGTGCCCGCCTCTTTTGTAGTAATAAGTGTCTTTATTTTGAGGGGGTCAACTTCACAGGCAGCCTGGAAAGTGTTGCTATTCTCCTCTTTAAGCTCTTTCTCCCTTCAACCCAACACCAACCATCAGAATACCACCACCACCACCAAAATCTCACCAGACACCGCAAATCGCAATCATGACGCTTTCTCGCCTCCTGGTAAGCTCTAACACCTCTCCAAAAAGTTGCGAACGAGCTGGGGACGACAGTGGCTGATGCGTAGGATAGCTCCGAGGCAACCCTAGCCAGGCGCTTCGAGCGGTGGCTGCGCCTGGCCTTGCGCGGAGTTTCCCCTACTACGCTCGCCACTATTCAGCGGACGCCGGCAAGAAGGACGAGAATGCGGGAAACGAGAATAAGCAGGAGGATAGCCCTCCTCCCTATACTCACCATGGCTCTGCGATCAACTTCAACTGGGGTCGCGAAAAGAAGGAAAAGACAGGCCCGACTCTGTCGGTGGACAACTGGGAGGAACACCCTGACGCCAAGATTGAGGACTTTGAGGAGCTTCCCTACAAGGGCTTCGGCATCAACCAGCACATGGAGGTCAACGCCGAGTTCAAAAAGGTCCTGACCGAGGTTGTCCGGGAATTCCGCGCTCCCATCATGTACGCCATGGCATACGGCTCCGGCGTCTTTCCTCAGTCCAAGGTCAGCCGATCTGTGTCGGACGAGGATTTTCGCGCTGTCCACCCCAAGCCGTCCCCTTCATTGATAGAGGTTCAAAAGGGTGGCCCCAAGATGATTGACTTCATCTTTGGCGTCACTCACACGCAGCACTGGCACTCGCTGAACATCAGACAGCACCGTGACCACTACTCTGGCCTGGCCAGCTTCGGTTCGGGCCTCGTCTCTACTACCCAGGATCGCTGGGGCGCAGGTGTCTACTTCAACCCCTATGTCACCAAGAAGGGCATGCTCATCAAATACGGCGTCACGTCCATCGACAACCTCTGCACCGACCTCTCCACCTGGAACAACCTGTACCTCGCGGGAAGACTTCACAAGCCGGTTAAGATCCTGCGTGATCACCCCAGAGTTCGCCTTGCAAACCAGGTCAACCTGATTTCGGCGGTCCGCACTGCTCTCCTGCTTCTGCCCCCCAAGTTCACCGAGAAAGAGCTCTTCTCTACCATTGCCGGCATTTCGTACCTTGGCGACCCGCGCATGTCTCTTCCTACCGAGAACAAGAGCAAGATCTCCAACATTGTGGACAACAACATGGTCTCCTTCCGCAAGCTATACGGTCCACTGCTCAACACTCTTCCCAACGTCGACTTTGCAGAGGGAGCCGACCAGCAGAGCAAGCACGCCGCCGACGCCGAGTACGACGGTGCCATGTACCAGGATATGGACCCCATTAAGCGTGGTAACATGGTCCGCCGCCTGCCCCAGGCATTCCGCTCGCGTCTCTACTTCCAGTACCAGAAGAAGTTCATGGTTCCGACTGCTGACTTCAAGGCCATGATGGACGCCTCAAAGGATGAGGACGCCGTGAGCTTTAAGCGCCGCGAGGGCGGTGGCTTTGAGCAGCGCATCGTCCAGGACAAGCCCGAGGAGTTGCAAAGTTCCATTCGCAAGGTCATTCGCCAGACTGTCAACTGGCCTGCGACCGCCCAGTCGATCAAGGGCTTCTTCACCGCAGGCGTCGGCCGCTCCGTTCGGTACATGTCCGAGAAGATGACAAAGTACAACGAAGGCAAGACAAAGGCCAAGGCCAAGGCTGATGAAGACAAGAAGCAGCCCGCCGAGGACGCGGAGAAGCCCAAGAAGGAGGAGTGAGCGTGACCAGACGCGCGATTATCGGTTACTCGCGACTATCTGGAGTGCTTCTTGCGCGCCTAGCTTGGTGCCTAACGACTTCTTGATTTGGCGACGGTCTCGCAATTGGTACATATTGAAACATCCCTCGACGCCCTTTGGCTTCGACTTGTATATTTGGCAAACGGGGCATCACGCAGAGCACTCTTTCCCCTCCGTCACCATGCGGAGATTGGCTCGAGAACCCTCTGCAGTGTGTGTGCTCTCCTAGCTCTTGCAACTGATCTTCGAGCTTGCCCAACTCGTCCCCTCACCCGGGGCTTTCTTTTGTTCCTGCCTTGCTTTCGGAAATTTGCATCAGCATTGGGAGGCGGTTCCCCAGATTAGAATTGGAGGGTGGGCAAAAAAAGGGGAAATTGGTTTCTTGAAAATCTTGCTCCGAAAGAAGAGGCCATGGTTTTGGTGATCACTCTGAATTATCTCGAACAGTGTCTCTGGACACTAGCGAGAGACTTGGCAGGGGTTTATTCGCCGTTGGGAGTGGACATTTTGAGAAACAGACCTCTTTTTCATTGATGAGAGAGGGTGGAAATTGGCGTTCTGAGGGCATGTAACAAGAGTATTCACCGGGAAGGGATATGCCCCCGAAGGCCACTTTGGCAGATTTGAATGAGATGCGATGAGATCGCCTGAGATTCACAATGATTGCGAGTTCGAACGTAGCTTAGACGTGATGTCTGAGTGTGTAGTGAAAGGATGATGAGACTTGGATTTGTCAAACACTATTGACGTCTGCTACGCGAAATGGACGATGAAGACCCAGCAAGACTGAAAAACGCGTTTTAGTTGAGGCACAGAAAACATTCAACCACGGCAAGTCTCCAATAAAGCTTTGATAATCATGGAATTATTACTACAGGCCCTGCCTGATTCAGTCAGGCCCGGCTAATGGTACAAGAGGTATTCGTTACATCATTCATCTTCCCGACTCGTGGTCAAAGATGCATTCTACCACTTCTTCTTTGCATACGAAGCAGCACCATCAATCAACTTGTCAGTGAACCCCTCGCTCTTCTTCTCCTCCTTCTTGTCCTTGCCTCCGCCGCCGAGGATCCCGCCGAGGAGACCTCCGCCGCTGCCGCCGCCGCTGCTGCCGTGGTTGTCGTGGCTGCTGCCGTGGCTGCTGTGGTTATCGTGGCGGTCGTAGCTGTCGCGACGGTCATAGCTGTTGCGGCCTATGATGATGTTAGTTTCGATACATGTCCCCAAGGGGACGGAAGAGGGATCACAGTGGAATGAGAGTGAACTTACGTCCAGAAGAGTGACCACCAGAATGTCCGTACTCTTCACGACCACCGCCGTAGCCGCCGTAGCCGCCGCCGCCACCGCCGTTGTAGTTATCGTGGCCGCCTCCCATGCCGCCAGAAGGACCGTAGTTGTCTCGGCCGCCTCCGCCTCCGTAGCCTCCGCCCATGCCGCCGCTCACACTGCCGCCCATGTTTTCGCGGCCGCCGCTTGAGTAGCCGCCACCCATGCCTCCTCCCATGCTGCCGTTCATACCGCCGCCTCCGTAGTTTTCTCTAGGGCCGTCGTTGTAGCCGCCGCCCATGCCGCTGGAGCCGTAGTTTTCGTGTCTTCCGCCGTGCATTGTGATTTCTTGGTGGAGGGTGTTTGAAGGGTGGGTTTGTTTGATGATTTGAGGTCTTGGGATGGTAGATTGTGGTGTGTTGATGAGTGAGACTCTGGTGAGATTGTAGTTGTGATTGTTGTTGATGATGATGAGAATAGGTCGACTTGAAGCAAACTTCACACTGGATTTCTTTATACTCGATTTGAGCTACTGTCTCGACACAAGTCCGTCATCGTGGCCAAGGAACGCGTCGACGTCCGTCATCGAGTCCCGTCAACCTGTTTGCGATGTCGCTCTTTCATGCCCACCTCTCCATCCAGCACAGTCTCATCTACGTCAAATCCCACCACTGGATAGGTTCTCCATCGAAAGTGCATCACCAAGCATCACACACTCCCGAAACCCCAGACAAAGGAGCATACAGAAATACCGGGGGGGGGGGTGCATTTGACGTCAGAGCTAGAAGTCCCAGACTCACAGGCGTCCAGAGTTGTAAGGTTTGTGGGGGGATTTTTCCGGGCCAAGTGCCGCATGAGTGCCGTGTAAACCGTCTTGGTATTCTGATTTCCTTGGTGGAGATGCTTGATATCTTGGATCCAGGCCAGGTTTTCCTACGGTGGTGCCGTTTGAGCCTCATTGTGGGCTCTGGTGCCATCCTAGCCTGCCTGCCCTGTCACAGTGCCACGCCTGTCCCTCCTGTGTAAGGTGAGGTTGCACACTGCAAAAGGCTGGGAGTCTGGGAGAGGCATAGAGGGAACGCGGGAACATGCCGTGAGCCACGATGGTGGTCCACACATCTGATCTCATAAGCCGACGGTCATTTCCTGACGGGGTAATTGGCCGTCCCGCTTTCTTGACGGGAGAGGCGTACCATTTCGAAAGTTTACCACGCCGAAAGACTTTTAGCGTGTTCGTACGCAGTGTCCGTAGTGCCGTACTACAATGGTCGAATGGTGTCCAACACTCGAGTCCAATGTCGAGAGTTGGTCACTGGTGGCGATGTGGGGGGCAGCAGAAACCGGGCTGACTAGGAGCGGGAAACTTGGATGGGGTGGATGGGAGCGCCACTGGTTTATTTATGGAAGGACCCTGCTTTTTGATTGTCGTACTGGGTGTCCAATTTCATGGTACAATCTTACAGTCCTCGTTGACATAATCTACCATTTCTGTCTCATTGTGAGGCTTATTTGGAGGCAATAAGAGATGTCGTCGATTCAAGGTGCGTAACGAAAGGGTAAAGGGTCTACCAGTACGGAGTACAGACTCATTCCCTTGCGTGTTCGGACCTGGAACGGTTTCCTGCGACATCGTTTCGTTGCGACGCTGGGTGGGTTTGATGGGATGACACAATGGCATTTCTTGGTCCGATGGGATGCTCCCCCTCAGCGACCGTCTGGTCCGTTTACCGTTTACCGTTTACCGTTTACCGTTTACCGTTTGCCAAGTAGAGATCCCAACGGTCAATGGAATCTGATCCAGTGTGCTAGTAGGTTCGAGCTGGCTAGGTATATTACTACCGCTTTCCCAGGGCTTTGAGCACCGTGGCACCTTTGACGCTTAAGCAATGGAAGAGACCAAATTACCACTCTGCGGGCTGTCAATGCCTCGGGCGTACGAGTCTTGGACCCCTGGCAGGGCCCTACGGAAGGGTTAGTTAGGCCAAGGTACGGATACACTACGTGAGCCTGCTAGGGCTTGGTACGGACTACGGAGTAATCTAGGTACCACAGTCCATCGGGGAGTTCATAGCGGGAGAGAGACAATCCGGGATCTTCCCGCGACTCCGCCAAGGGGGCAAGGGGGCAAGGGGGGTGGGAAACCAGAGGCCGGTCCTAGCATCGGTGGGAATGATGGCGTTGGCGTTCCAGGCGTTGGAACTATCTTCTTTCTAAATTCTGGCAGCTTGACGTGTTGCTTACGCTTGTCATGTCAAGTCCAGAAACGTAACAGCCCTACTTGCTGATGGAATCCAATGCTTGAACATTGCCAATTCTTCCATACCACAATGATCCAAGGCTCAAGGATGGGGATAGGAACACAACCTACTCCGTAAGGTTGCTAAGGAACCCAATACCATCGTCCATGAGGAGAAAAGGTTCTCTAGATTGACCTTGCTCCAAGGACCTGCCCCGACCACGCCGTCGCATGCATATTGGCCGGAACCCCATTTTTGTCTTTTTTGCCCATTCTCATGCATCGCAGCGCAGCGCCGCGCCGCACAGCCCACCTGACGGACAGCGCAGGACGCAGCATATGACATTGACATTGGTAGAAACTAAAGAGTAGAGATGGAGGGGGAGGGGGGAAAGATACTCTTTTCATACTCATACCTAGTAGGTAGTGTAGGTATGTATACCTGAGCAGTAGAGGCGTTGGGATGGATGGATGCATGAGGCCAGTCCAAGAGGCGAAATAATAGGGAGAGAAACGAGTTGACTGTTGGTCCAATTCTTCTCCCTCCCATGCCCCCCCCCCCCCCCCCCCCCGTCCGTCCGTCCGTCCAAACATCGTCAATGGATTTTGATCCGGGTCCCCCCGTCTGACCCTTTTGCTCTCTCATTCTCTGAGAGCTGAGCTGAGTGTCTGCAAATCCCAAAATCCCTCGGGCTGCGTGTTCCTCGCGTCTCCCACCCACCCACCATTACGTTGCCCATCTTGGAGACTTGGATTGCGCGCCCACCCTTGCCTGGACATGCTTGGCGCTGTTCCTCTTGGACTTGTCATTCTGGATGAAGGCGGGCAGGGCAGGGCATCCTTTGCCTCCTCCTCCTCCTCTCTACTTTTCTTCAGTCCGTCCTGTTCCAATCGTCAGCAAACACCCCGCAAATCTCGGGTCCAGTCAGAGCTTGCTTGTTGTTTCTTTGCTTCTTCCATCCTTTTCCTCTTCTTTCTCACCGTTGAAATCCTGGGATTTCTTCTTAGACACAACCTGCTGGATCGGTTACACCGCTTATCCCGGCCGGATACCTACCTACCTACCTACCTACCTACCTTACCCTCCCTCACCTTACCTCGAAACTCGACCACCATCATCCACCACACCCATCCATCCACCCACCCACACCCCATTGTTCCTTTCCATCTGCAGAGCGAGCTCTCAGAAAAAGGACAGTAGCAACGGCTGGACATCCACAATCTCGCAGTAGTTCGGCCTTCTGTAGCGGTGCGCCCGCCCGCTTTCTTCGTGTTCCCTTTGCTCAAATCTTCAATCAATCGCCGCCGCCTTCTGTAAAGTGGTTGGTGAGGACGTGAATGCGAGAGAAGCTCCAAACGAATCGATTCGACGACGACAGCTTTCCCAACCTCGGCCCAATATTGTCCATTTCTCTCTACCTTCTTCTTTTCTTTCTTCCCAACCTCCGGCCTTTTGACTTCAATTTTCCTTTCCCCCGTCGAACGGGCCATCCTCGCAGGTGATGATCGGCGAACCACCTGAATCTTTCAATCTACGCAAGAGAATCGACGCCTAGACGCCGCATCGAAGGGAAACCAAGGATCCCGGGAATCTCAAATCTGGCCGGTCCATCCGTCGCTGCCAACCGCCGAGGCCGCCGCCGTTGCGATACAACCCTCGACATCGACGACAATTCCGGTCCGACCGAACGAAAACCGGCTGTGTTAACCGCACTCGGAACCTCAACGTCTCAAGCAAAATCGCAAAATCGCAAGCCGACTTTTTGGAGTACCACTTGGCGCATGATTCCACGATAGAGGCACCGCAACCTCACCTCGCGATCGAGGCGAAGCTCTCCCCCGCCATCTCAGCATGACGCGCCCGCGCATCCCCGCCCTCTACGGCATCTTCCAGTTCTGTCTCCGCCTGACCCTCGTCGTCTTTGAGGTCTGCGCCCTCGCCGCCCTCATCACCTTGTCAAGATATGGCTTCCACTTCCCGCTGGGATACGTCACAGTAAGCCTCTCACGCATCCTCTACACCGTGTAGACCGTGCAAAGACTAACAGCCCAAAAGTCCGTCTCAGGCATAATCTTCTCCATGACCGAAATGGTAACCCTCGCAAACTCAACCCACCAGATCCCCCGCATGCGCACCGGCGCCATCGTCGTCGCCGACTTCGTCCTCTTCGTCCTCGGCCTGGTCGCCTTCTTTTATTTTATTATCCTCAACGGCTGGCGCACGGGGAGCCCGAACCGCGAGTACCGCGCCTGGCGCGAGGATCCGCTGCGGCGGGAAAAGGAGACGTGGGCGCCGTGGTACATGTGGCTGCAGCTCATCGCCGCGGTGCTGCATTTCTTGTACATGGCCATGCACTGCGTCGACACGTGTAAGGAGGGCGGACCGGAGCAGCAGCGGCGGCGGCGGAGGGTGCGGAGGCGGGCGAGGGAGGTGGAGAGGCGGGAGAGGAGGGCTGGGATTGGGAGTGGGGATCTTGAGACGGCGCAGGTTGTGCCGCAGGTTGTGCCGCCGAGTTGATGATGGGTTGACAAAGAGTGGATGAGATGGGAAAACTCTTTGGCTACTGACTTTTCTTTGCATTGGGAGTATGGCTTGGGTATGAGGTGTTCTTGGCGTTTGGGAGATGGAGGCAATGGGGATTTTTCATGAGACATGGACAAAGGGGATTTTGGTGCGGCCTTGAGCAAGTGCTGGTCTTGGCCGGGGGGGGGGGGGGGGGACACATGAATATCCATGCTCATGATGGCGATACTGAGGGGGAAAATGGATATATATGCCTTGTCCTTCAACTGGAGAATGACACTATTTTGGATATCATGGCGCCGACACAGAGAGAGACATTGGATATCCGACGGTCAAGTCGTAATTCTAGACGACGATTCAGTAAGCTCTTATGGGAGATTGAATCTCGAGTAACTTCCAGCACTTTCACACTGTTAAAAGGCACAGAGACAGGATAGATACCCCAGATTTTTTCCAATATCAAAATCCGTTACACTTCATTCTACACAATAACCTATTTACCTCACTTTCCTCATGCATTCGAGTCTACACCACCACCACCACCACCACCATCACCAGCGACGTACGTCACTTCCGTCGGATCCGGGGCTCTCAGCGAGGTACTTACTTCACCTACAGCCCCAATGACGGTCATATTGGCGGCGACTTGTAACGAGAGTTTAGGGCTGCGAGGAGGCTTCGGACCGTTTGAAACATCGGCCACCCTTCAGGTGGCGGCGGCTTTTGCTTTTCGGCGCATGTCAAGAAAATCCATTTTATCCTCGTCTGTTCTTTTGAAGAAAAGGTGTCCGTCACCGGTAGGTTAATGTTTACGTGACTCAAGATTCGCGGAGCTGGATTGATTGATGAACTCTCATACCGATTCCTCCATATTCCTACAGCATTGCAAACCAGAAGCTTCCTTGGGTTTTCTCATCCTTCCCTACGCTGGATTTGTTTTTCCCCTCGAGGAAACAGTCAGTCAGTACGCCCTGAGATCTAGCTCAGATCCCGCTTGGACTGGTCCCCCGGTGACTAGATGGCAAGGAAGGACTGGGACCCTTGACATACGTACACAGACATTTCGTTTCGACCCAAGCTCATTGCTCGTAGCTTGGCAGAGGGCAACTCGCGCGAGCTAGTGAAGCATGTCTCGGTATCCGAACAGCCAACGGAGCCGCCGAGTCCCGGGGTGATTGGCACGACCACCGGGTATCCGGTGGAAAGAGTTCTTCAAGCCAACGGGGGGAAAAGTGAGAGACCATCTCTTTCTTCGAGTCTAGGAACTAAGGAACCGCTTGAGTGGGTTTCCCTTATCAATGGGCGGAGCGTTCGGGCCTCGTATTTGGGCAACAAAAAAAAACCTCGTATTCCAGCGGCGACGGGGTTCTCGGGGATAGAATGCACCACGTAGTAACTAACCCCTAACGATGAGAGTCTTCTACACATCACAGCCAAGAAAGACATAGTATCTACATTCACTCGCACCAGTCCCACGCCATCACGGCCCCGAGGCCGCGCGTCTCCTCCCCCGAGTGCCCCGCCCCCGTCCCCTTCCCACACGCAACCCTCAACCCTCGCCCTCCCCTTCCCGCCCTCCTCGGCCCCAAGCTGCACCCATCCCCTCGTCCCCTCAGGCACATCCCACTCCACGCTCGCAAAGCCACCGTCCTCCTCAACGACCCACTTGGCGCTAAACCGCCCCAGCCCCGTCGTGAACCGGGCCTGCGCCTCCGCCGGCAACCCCTCCGCCTCGGCGCCGAACGAAGCCGGCTTCAGACTCCACTCCCGGCCCGCGGGCGCCGTGACGCGGAGCCATCTGCAGCTCTGCAGCTGGACACGAGTCGGGGGTTCCTTTAGATCTCGAGCAGGGGAGAAATGGGGTGGGAGTCGATCGCTTGGCAGAGAGACGCAGGGGAGTCTCTAGTAATAAGCAAGGAGCAAATCAAGAGAGGAGAAGAAGAGGAGGAGGAGGAGGAGGGTCAATGGGAAGAGAAGGAGGAAAAGGAAGAGGAAGAGAGTGCAGGGTTGAAGGAGGAGTCTTGGAGGTTACGTTTGTGGGGTAATCTGGAGAAGTGGAACTTTGTTTCTTGGCACCACCCTCGCTCTCAGTTGGGTTGAGATGGTTCATCTGAAGTCATCATCGTCTGATGATTGGAGTTGGCTTACTTGGGTAGGGAAGGTTGTGTTCTTCATATCAGACCCGTGCAGTTACATGTGTCCTTATGCGGATCTTTGTGCAACTCGCTCGAAGTTCTTACGAGGAAATGAAGCGTCTTGTACAGTTGTCAGAGGTGGACTGTGAGAACTAGACTCAAAATACGGATAGGATTTACAGAATTGGACTAGTCTCGCGGGCCAAAGATCTAAATATATACTAGAAACAAAAGTATAATCACATCACCATCTCACGCCTTGGAAATGGTGACCTCAGCCTGTCCGCCAGACAAGTCAACAAGATACCCTCCCCTCGCCACGCTCGCCCCGGACACCGTGAACTTGGCATCTCCCGACGTCGTCTCCAACCAAACAACAGTCGAATTCGCCTTGAGCGCCGCCGCCTCAGACGCCGCAGCACCAACACTCAACTTCACCGTCTGGCCCTCGCGGTCATGAGTGACAGTCTGAATCGCACCGGCGCTAAGCACAACCTTCAGCCCCAGATCCGCAACAAACACCCGCCGCCTCACCGCGTCCCTCGGCTCAGCAACCACGGACGTCTCATCCGACGTAACAACGTTGCCGCCAAAGACAACCTCGCCGTACGTCGCGTGGTGAACAATGTACACTCCCTGACCGAGTCCCAGCCCCAAAAACCCGAGGCCGTAGTCGCCGGTATACGGGTCCCACGCCAAGTGCTCCGGGAACGAGTGGAACGCCGCCGAGGGGCAGCCGTCGGCGTCGATGTTCGTCAGGGGCGCCGTGTTGCCGGCGAAGGCGACGCGGAGGGCGTTGACGTCGGATGGGTTGCGCTCGTAGTGGTGCAGCATCGGCAGCGAGTTGAGGCCGGAGCCGTAATGGTGGAGCTGGCGCTCGATGCCCTGGTGCTTGGCGCCGTAGAGGAAGTCCCAGTAGCGGCGGGCGTTGCCGTTCCAGCCCCAGTGGGCGACGGTGGGCATGTAGGCTCTGATGCTGTTGATTGCTTTGATGGCGGTGCTGTTGTGGCCAAAGTATCTGTTGCACTGATGTTAGTCCATGTGTGTAAGAGTTTGTGGTTTGCTTCGAAGACGTACTCGGTCCAGTAGTAGACGCCTTCTTGACCGGTACTGTCCCACGCCATCTCGCTTCCAAATGGAACAGCCAGCGTCTCCCAGAACTCGGCGCGGAAACGCATGTTCGCCTCAAAGGTAGTAGCCTCCTGCGTCATGTTCTCTCTCTTCAGGTCCGCAAGCAATTCCGCAAACACCGTCTCGCCCATCAACCCAGTCAACCCGTAGTCGCAGTCCTCGGCGCCGTTCTTCATGCAGTGCGTCACCGTGTTATACGCCTGCGTCAAGTACCAGGTCCAGTCAGCACGGGTCTTGACCTGCGGGTAGTCCCTCGCCACGCGGTACATGGACCAGTACGCCACTACGGGATGGACGTAGTTATACGCGCGGACGGTGGTGTACGCCCTCTCCTTAGTCCACGACGCCCAAGACGTCCAGTCGCGAGACGTGTCGTAGGCGTAGTCGACGGCGTCGGGCTGGTAGAAGAAGGTACTCGATCGGACGGCGAAGGAGTCGTTGGCGGGCTGGATCGTGCCGACAATGGTGTCGTGGATGAAGTCGTCCAGGACCGTCACCTCGGCTTCGACGGGTTGAACAAACAGCTTCGTGGCGGCGGCGACGTACGCGCCCGTGCCGCCCTCGTCGCTTAGGCCCGCGATCCAGACGCGCTCGTCTTGGGTGACGATGGTCTTTGTCTCCTTGTCGTAGCCCATGATGGACGGCGCGCGGCCAAAGGGGTCCGAGGTATCGGTGAAGTGCGCGGCGGTGGTGAGAAAGTGGCCCAGGTCTGAGACTGTCTCCGGCGCGGGCTTGGTGATGTAGTACTGCACCACCTGCGTCTTACCGTCCTCGTAGGTGATTGTCACCTTTGCGCGGCCCCAGGCGCCGGCGGTCGGCGTGAGGAGGTAAGGGGAGCCCTTTGCGGCGGTGTCCTGCTTGACGGTGAAGGACTCCTGGCTGTCAATGGTCTTTGCTGGGGACGAGTGCGTGAGGTAGAGCCTGGCTGTGAGATCGGTGGGCACGACGTAGCCCGGGATGCCCACGGCGAGCGGGATCTCCGCCTTTGTGACGGCGTCCTCGATGGTCTGGATGCTCTCCGCGGCGACGAACTTGAGTCCGACAGAGTACGTCTCCCCGGCCTTGAGGGTCTTCGACGTGGGCGTGTTCCAGGGCGTGGCGCCTTTCCACTCGGTTTCCGCCCACGCCTGAGAGTGAATCATCCACTCGTAGGTGCCTTCGTAGGTCTGCGACTGGTAGTAGTAATCGCCCTGTGGCTCATTGAGAAGTCTCCACGCCTCGAACGGGCTCGAGCCGAGCGGCGCGACGACGAGGGCGTTGCCGAGGCCCTTTACGGGGGAGACGCGGACGTAGCCCGCATCGAGACCGATGTACGGGTCCGCGAGGGAACACTTTGCCTGCGTCTCCTCGGCCGACGGGCGCGAAAAGATGTTGTTGATGGCGACGGGCAGACCCAAGGCGCCGAGCTCGACGGTGCCGTTGGCGGTGTTTGTAAAGTTGACTCTCAGAGCGACGCCGTCGCCTGCGGGAAGCCACTCGCGCGTCACGGTCAAGGGCACGCCGGAGGGCAGCGTCGCAGCGAGGTCTGCGGCCGCAATGACGCCCGGGGCGAGGTCCGCGAGGGCTTTGACGGGGTTCCTGGCGCTGGCGGAGTCGACGGTCGTCCAGTTGCCGGCGCCGTCGAGCTTGAAGCGGAAGGAGACGTCGCCGATGTGGTGGGCGCCGTTGGAGGTTAGGTTGGCGAGGAGGTCCGAGGGGAGGAAGTCAAAGTCGGTTCCGGGCTTGAGGGAGGCGAGGGTCTGGGAGTCCTTGACGAGTTGGCCGGTGAATTGGCCGGCTTTGAAGTCGAGGAAGCCGTTTGTTACGCCGAGGTCATCGCTGGATTGGGCGCGAACGAGGGACGTCAGCGCCAGCGCCAGCGTGAGGGCTGGGAGAAGTTGTGTCCGAAACATCGTGAATGATATGGCGGATCTTCTGATTAGATCGATCGCAACGATGGCTAAGGCTTGTTTTCAGCCAAGAAGGGAGGCGTCTTCCTATTTATCGCTGCGTATGGGCTCTAAAGAAATGCCTCCATCATCATTGAGGTAGCATTTCTGTACTGACCTGCGTCATGGACCGTTAATTTCCCCATGGTTTCATGCGATCTGGAGCCCGCCACCCGTTGTAGAAGCTCGGGAACCATTGATACGAGCCAGGACGCTCTAACATTCGGTCGCATCGTCTGACCTTGCGTGCCTTGTCGGCTATAACCCAATGATCGACAGGGCCGGTTGCTGTTCTCTGCAATCTGCGAGATGGAGGGGTTGCCGGATGTAAATGTCCCTGTACGTGAGCGGGGCGGCTAGTTTTCCTTTGTGGGTGCTGATACGGGAATCTAGTCGAGGGTATAGTAGTGCTTGTCTTTCATCATTCGTGGATCCTTAAAGCCCTCTTGGAATTGCAATTAGTTCATTGCTGGGGTAGCGAGGTTAGATCGGGACCGAACCCGAGTTGCGTATAGGCTTTTTGGTGGTCGATCGGTCGCGAGGATGTTGGTTGCAACGTAGCTCCACTAACCAGTCCGGGGGTTAGTTTGTTGATTATCTGACAACTTCTCGCCGCGGTTGCGAACTAATACCCAAAAGGGGAGAATGCGAATTGTCAACGTAGAGTTGCTGTTGTAGAGACTCTTAGTTGGTTCAGCTTGGTTGACTGTAAACGTTAAGGTTTACCAGTCGCTGCTGTATGTTTCGCGATACCGAAAAAAAGTCGGTGTCACAGATATTAATCGACTCAGGAAGAAAATAAAACTTTTAAAGGAATGAATTAAGGGTGCATTCTTCTTACAAACGACAACCCCCAAAAAGACCCACAGCTTCATGCTTCATTCATCCTGGACCATTGTGAATGACATCCACTCGTTGTCCTCCCATTCCATTGAGTTGACAACGTCTATAATTTGCTGCGTCGTCAAGTCCTCCGCCTGACTGCTGCTGTCTTTGCTCAACTCTCTGTACGCCGGCAACGTCGTTTCTTGACTCAACGGCAATCTCGTTTCCGCCGGCAAAGGGGCCGGTAGGAGAGGGGCTGGTACGCCTGCCTGTTGTTGCCAGTCTGGTTGTGGTAATGGCTGCTGCTGTGCGACAATGTTCGTCGAGTCCGCCAATAGCCTCGGTCTGGTTGCGTCAAAACCGAGCAGCATCTCCTCCAACTTTTGCATCTCCTTCTCCCTGAACTCGGCGATGAGGTTGCCGCTTGCTACCATTTCTCCGACGATGGCGTGCGACTTATCGAGCCAGGGGACTTGGCTCTCTATGAGACGCGAGTCGACCCCGCGGGCGACGAGTAGGGCGATTGTTGATACGAAGAGAGAGTCTAGATCTAGTGGAAGGAATGTTTCTGCATGTGGTGTTAGAGTTGATCCAGAGGGTTCATTATGTGACCAACTTACCAAGCAGCCCCTGCGCTCTTAGTCGATCGAGAATGTTCAAAATCTGGATAGCCGACTCTGCGCACATCTGAAGCGGGTTCCGAACCTTTGGCGATGCCACCAACGAGTCCGCCTCGAGCGGGGAGTTGAATCTCTTGATCAGACAGCACAAAAGTAGAGGTCGGGTCGCGAGGATGATGCACTTTAACCATAAAATTAGCAAAAACAAAAACTCTAAAAAAACTCAAAACCCGGGGGAAATCGCCGACTTAATTAGCGTCTCTTCGTACACACCTGGTAGTAAAGGAGGTGCAGGTGGGCAGAAAGTCTCGAGATGCCGTCAAAGCGCTCATCCGCAAACAACGGAAACGAAGTACGCAGCTCATCGGCCACGGCAACGATGCTTTGCAGCACCGACTTTGTGCTCAGGACGAATTTCTTATTGAGGCGGCCGTTTGCCCCGTAGACGGCTAGATGAGGGGAGGGAAGAAGTCAGCACGTAGGACCTTGAGCGATGGCGGGTGTGTTGAGAAGAGTAGCAGTGCACTTACTGCTACTTATTTCTGCAATGATTCGAGCAAACTTGATCTGCATGCTCAGTGCAGTGGTACGGTGAACGGAACCTGGATATGACGGAAGCTGGCAAAAGACGCCCTCGTCCAGAGTTGATTGAGGCAGCCCCATCAATGAGGTCATTTGCCGGTCGAGAACGTAGACTGTCCACCAGATCTTGCGGCATCGTTGGACTAGGCCCGGTCCCAAGTCCATGACAGGCATGTCTGTATGCATTCCGTGGTTCATTGCCACGCTTTTGGCTTGCCCAATCTGTCCAATTTTGATTAGTCTCGAATATGATTTCATCCCTAAAGTCCCTTTAGAAACCGGACTCACAAAGTTGTGCGCTGCATGTCGAAAGTCCAATGCTTGATAATACCACGCCATCGAGCACAGAATCTCCGTCGACATGATAGGCTCTTTACACAGCGCCGTAACATCAGGCAGAAGCTGCAGCGCCCGCACGAAGAAATCCGCCCCGGCCGGCCTGTTATTCCCCTGCGTCTTTCTCTGGATAAGGCTCTTGCCAAACGCCAGGATCACGAGGAAGTGGATGTACCAGAGGCTGTTTTCCTCCGCTCTATTATCGGTCGAGGATTTGGCGTAAAACGTCTGCATGTGGAGCATGAATTCTTCTTCTTCAAAGAGGTGGAACATTTGCCCACAGTGGAACTTGACAGCGTTGATGAGGAAAATGGCGTAGTCGTGGCTCGGGATGAGTCTGTTGTCGAGCGTCTGCGTTGTTCGGGAGCCATCCCAGCCCAGGTCATAGGCGAAGCCGTCGAAGAGGAGGCTGTTTGTTGGCAGCGGAGATTGGCAGACATGTTCATGGGTGACGCTTAGGACTTGGCGAGAGAATGACCAATTTGATGAGGAGCCAAGGAAGTCTAGATTTGGGTGAGTGGTGTGTTGTGTTGTATGTAACTGCCAGGGCAAAGAGCTCACATGGCTGTCCATTGGATTCGGACATGCAGAATCGAGATGGCGTTGCAGTAAGAGGATTCGTCAAGTCTGGGCCATCTCCATCTCCTGGTGGTGAGTTCCCGCCTGTGCCGTCTGGCGTATGATAATTTCGTCTACGCTCATCGAAGCGTGAAGGGTTATTTGGGTCATCTAGTCCGACTGAATAAGCGTGAACCCAACTCAAGCGCAGCCGAGGAGATCATACCTTCGCGACACGCGACAGCATCGTCATCGCCATCGGCATGCCTTAAGCTTTGCTCCACCAGGGGTCTTGCTTGCGCGCGCTCCAAACGTGCCACCTTTTGTTGCAGCTCTGATAGGTATCTAGAACGACAGTGCCATGTCAGCAAAGTGCCACGCAGTCGAGTGTGTGTCGACAGTTGCTAGAGTCACAACTGACCCCTGCGTCACCATAACCTTGTTATCCCGCTCATCAAAGATACACGTCAACCGTCTCTGTGTGCAGTTGTTGCACGGGTGAAGGCCTGAGCACTTGATCTTTTGCCTCCGACATCGCGAGCAGCTAGCGATGCCGTGTCAGTAAGGTTCTGCTTCGCGAACAGTGAGGGGGACGTGAGGTACGCACGCATAAGATGACCGCTTCGTGATACGACGTTGAGTATTAGAAGACTCCATTTTCAGGGCTATAACAGCTTATTTCCCAACTTGGCCTCAAACCCGGAAGCACTTCCAGAGGTTGGCAGCGCAGGGCAGTGTGAGTTGTGGTGTACGGTGGATAAGGTATCCGAGTGACGTCTCGCCCAGCAGCCAGAATAACAGAAATGGAGATATCGGAAGGGCAGTCCGAACTTCTAACAATTCAGGGTGCGGGGTTTCGCTCTACCGCTGCCCGCAGCAACTAGTTCACCGTATTCCCGGCATTCCGCGTCCGAAAGCGAAGTAGCTTAGTTTAGATGGAAGATAAGACTGAGGGCATGACTGGTCCGCTCAGCAAGGGAATCCTAGACTATGGCTATCTTCAAAATTCCTATTCGAGCAGTGTTACTTTGCTGTTGGTTCCGTGCGGGGTGCATGCCACCCGTTGCAAGCCGCAGCCAAGCACGGAGAGATAGCACTGCGAACGACGGGGACGTTAACGTGGGGTCACCTTTATCGCTGCTTCCGACCCTGGATGCAACGCTATTGGTCTGTTCATTCCTCTACCACAACTTTAGTATTACACCGAAAACAAAAGATTCAATGACCTTAAGTTCAAGAGAGCTGAAGTAATTTTTATATGTTATGTAACGTGGATGAAGTCACCGGGCAACTGCCGCCTACTTAAGCTCGACAAATCCACCTTCATTTCTTGCGAATTCCACTCAAGCTGATGGGCAGCGAGCCATGCATTCACTGCTGAATCGGAGATTGGGTCTTTTCCAACTTGCGACAGAGCGATTCCAGGAATACGCGCTCTTTGTGAGAAGAACTCTTTCATCATGTCGTAATCTAGCGAATGGCTTCGCGGAAGGTCGGTCAAATCAGTGGGCGATAGCACGAAGTCGGCTTCCTAATCCTGCTTCTTTCGCTGCCGCTGATTCTTCCACAAGGAAATGTGCCCTAGCACAGAGAGCAGAAACTCCCTACAGTTCTCTTTTTGAGAGCTCTTATATGCCAAGCACACCCCGACTCTGAGTGAGAAACCTCCTCCCTCAAGGAACATCGTGGTGCCTTTCTCGACACAGGGGGCACCAAGACGCGTTTGCACAATCCCCACGTATAGAAGGGCCGCAACCCTCACTTGGTCTAGAAGGTAGTTGTTAGGAAGAGACTGAGGCGATCGACATGCAGGCATAACCTGCCTAGTACCTACCAGGGGTAAGAAATGGCTTCGTTGCCTCCGTCGTCATGACTTTGTGAGACATAGTCAATTATTTCTCGTGCATAAGTTCGGGTACTGAATCTCAGGGCTTGTCGAATGAACCTGTTGCCTGAAAACGCTGTCTGCCGCTTGGATCCAAAATTCTTCGTGTTGAAGGTGATATGTTGCATCCGCCAAAGTAAGAGCACATGATAGGAAAGATAGAGTCTGTGAGAGACAGCTGCTGGTTATATACCATCTTTTCATACATGGTCATGTGTCTGCAAACAAAGGGATTAATGGTTTCACGAAACGCTTCCTTGAAGCTTGAACACTATCGCTAAACTCTTTGTGCCCCACTTGACCGTCAGGGCCATTTGACATTTCAGATTTTCCAAGAATCCTCCATTTAGTCATTCAGCGATATCACTTGGGCCGTACCGCCTCACTTCTATTCACAGGCTCTTTGGGGCCCGAACAGCAATATCCTGGGTTGCAAGGTTCCCAGCAGCGGTGCAGCAAAGGAGAAAAGCAAGTACGTACTGAGACAATCTAAAAGGTGAGATCAGCTAGGGTAAATAGTGGAGATCAGATGCTCACTGATGCAACATGAGAATCTCTGGAAGAATGACGACGAACAGGCTTCGGCGACAGGAAGAAATGGCCATTCAGAAGTACAGATTGCCCAGTAGCGCATCGCGAGCGCAATAGCGGTCTGCTGAGACCATAGCACAAGCGGAAGCGTAGTGAAAGCGAACTAGAATAAGGCGGAAAGGAAGGGGGCATGGAACGTATTGAACCGCAATGAGAGTGAAACGGCCATAAAGCGTTGAGAGAGATCGGGGGTGGCGGAACGCAGTGACGCTAGTAGGAGGTGAAGATTCGGAGCGGCGGGTGGAGCCAACGGCTCAGGTACTGGTCGGGGAGGCATGTAGCGCCGGAGGGGTGTGGGCTGCCGGAACGGCTCATCATGCCCGATACAGTTCACGGAGGCGGAGGCGGAGGGATGTGGGGCATATCGTCATACAAAACCGTCGGCGTTGGTTTCGGTGGCTCCGGCTCCGGTGTGGAGGTGCTGGTAGTAGTTGTGCTCCTCGAAGTCTTTGTCGCGTATACTGACTCGATGTAATTCCAGGCGTCCGTCACCATCGCCGCCCCAGCATCCTGTACAAACCAGGGATCATTGTCGCCGGCGATACATGGTCCCGGGTACGTGATAGTACTCGTGCTCGTGAAGTCGACTCAGTTCCTCCACAAGATATCGGCGTCGTTGCACAGCTAGTCACGCAGTCATCCGTCATCACCGTCGTCCAAGGCACAACTGTTCGCTGGGCAAGCGACTCCGGAAGACTTCACGATTGTTTTCTGAGAGTCGCATGGGCAATCTGAGCCCTGGCCTTCGCCGCCTGGACCCCCTCCTCCGCCGCCGCCACCACCGCCGGTACCGCCTGGGCAGCCGAAGATCGGACACCCTCCATGGCAGCCGCCGAGACCGCAATTGGTACCACCGCAGCCGAAGATGCACTGTTCGCAGCCGAAGGGGCCGCACCCGCCTCCGCAGCCAAATCGACAATCTGGGTCGCCACAATTCATCTTGCATCCGTTTGTGCTGGGCGGTTCCTGTGTGTAGACTGGCACGGGAGGCTCTGGAAAGTCGATGGAGTGTGTTGGGGGAGGCTGTATGGTTATGGTCGTGCGGCCTGGTGCTAGTGTGGTAGACGCAGGCGGTGGAGGTGGAATGGTATAGTTGGTAGTCGAACCTGACACCACAACAGTCTCAGTCAAGCTTATGCGTGTGTTGTCAACCACTCGTGTCGTTAGAAGCGGCACGATGCTTTGGACAGGTGTCACAGAGGTCCGGACAGGATCGCCATTGCTCACGACAACAGGCCAGAAGCTGACGACTGAGGTGGTGTATGGTGGGAAGCAAGACACGGCAGGACTTGCACTTGACCAGAGATCAGATGCAGGATGAAACTCACCGGATCCTCTGCCATCACCACAGCTTGTGGATTCGCATCCGGTACCGCAGTATTATCCCTTCGAGTGCGAGATAACGTCAGTACAAAGAGATACGTATACCATTCGGGGTCACGTCCAATTATACGTTATTCCGGCCTAATATCCTCAAATCAAAATTCAGGTAGTTAGAGAAATGTAGAGATATACATTTTGACGTTATCTCGCACTTGAAGGGATAAAGTGAATGTAAACATTGCCTCCCCCAGTGAGCTGGGATCCTGGCGATGAAGCTGGTAATCAGTATTGAGTTTGGATCTTTACTTGGGCTCTTCCTAGACCGGTAAAGTAGACAGGGAGATAATCATAGTTCGAGCTTCATTACCTCTACTAAAGAAGCATGCGAGTATCATGTCAAATGTTAATCTCGGTTATTGGCTTATCGTCTTCAGAGTAGTCGTGAACTCAAGACACTTTCAAAATTACGACAGGGGCGTCATGCAAGTTCGGGCCATCCGGAGATAAGCATCAGAGATCGGAGAGCTGCCCGGGGTAACGTAGGATTGAGCAGCGATCTTCGGTGACAACCATCATCTAAGCGAATGCAGCTTTAGAATCTTTGCGGTCATAGAATAAGTCCGATTTGCATCCTATTAGTAGTCTGTCCGATTGGTGCGGGTATTTGCCGTCGGAACCAAGTCAACCTTCTCCGCTTCGGCCTCACGTCGAGGCAACCTACATTACGTCTCAACGGGCAGGCGTTGCGATCATCGAATACCTATTCAAGTGTCATCTGATTTTGGCGTTGCAATGGGATGGTCGGGATGTGAAGATACGCCGGGACTACATCTCTGCTGCGATAGAGGGAATACGAGGCTGCGACCAAGTCATTGAACATTCGTATACACGTGCTGCGCGTTGCATTATCGAACTTCCTAGTTAGTCAAACTGAATTATGCCTGGTACTTAGAAGGTTAAATAATCATAGTAGTCCGAAATGTAGGAGAATCAAGGTAGTTGTTCCTGAAGATCTATCCAGTTCATTTGATTTCTTCGCAGTATGATGCTTCAAAGATTGCTGGCGACTCTTTTCGCTGCGACGGTGGCACCTGTCATCGCCGGTGTCTTGCCTCCAAGGCAAGTACCAGGTGCTGCACAAGGCGTGACAACTATCACCAGTCCCGGTGGCTCGACAATACGCTACAAACAGCCCGGCAAAGATGGCATTTGTGAGACCACTCCTGGAGTCAACTCTTACAGTGGATACATCGATATAGCCCCAGACGTGCACATCTTTTTCTGGTTCTTCGAATCGCGTAGAGATCCTGCAAAAGATCCAGTGAGTTCTAAGTCTCATGATGTTCACATGCACGATAATGATGACTCTTTTCAAGGTGACACTCTGGCTGAATGGTGGCCCGGGTTCTGACTCCTTGATTGGTCTTTTTGAGGAAATTGGACCTTGCGAAGTGGTCGAGAACATGACCACCGTTCTTCGGGACTACGCTTGGAATGAGATTTCGAACGTCTTATTCCTCTCACAGCCAGTCGGAACAGGTGGGCCCACGTGAACCTCCGGTCAAGGTCCGCGATCTCACACGAACAGGTTTCTCCTACAGTGAGAAAGAAGTGGGATTTCTCGACCCCACGTACCTTCTCGTAGACAAGGAGCCTGGAGGCTCCGACGAGCGGGAAGGGCGCTGGTCCGTTATTGACCCGACCAAAGAAGACACCAGCCGTCTTGCTGCTATCACTTGCTGGGAAGTGGTTCAAGGGTTCTATGACGCTTTGCCACAGCTGAGCTCTTCCAACATCTCTTCAATTGATTTTCACCTTTGGGCAGGTAAGCATTCGTCGCTGCGAAAAAAACAAGACTTTGACTAACACTGAGACAGAGTCATTCGGAGGGCATTGGGGTCCTGCCTTTTACACTCTGTTCAATGAGCGCAATTCTGAGCTTGAGCAGAGCACCCCAGTTGGACGTAAGCTCAACTTGAAGAGTCTTGGCATTGTGAACGGCATCGTGGATGAGCATGTGCAGACCAAATACTTGCTTGACTTCACTCGAGGCGAAAACAATGGTTACGGTGTCGATCTCATCAACGAAACGATATATAATTACGGCAAGTGGAACCGAGATCGCCCTGGGGGCTGCCAAGAGAAGCTTGACTACTGTGACTATCTTGAACGTGACTCGATCGTTCGAAGGTCGGCTTGTTCTGCTGCACAGTTTATCTGCCAATCTGATGTTGAGGGCATGTTCTACACCTTCAATCTGGAAGGCCGTGGAACATACGATATTGTCAGTCATTTCGGTGCACTATAGAGTATTTGCGCTGACCATTCTCAGCGATTTCCTTCTGGCAAGGATGTCCCACCTGACAACTGGCGTGTAAGTCGTTTTATCCAGATATGCAAGACAGATTTGTAACAAAACTGACTTAAGTGAGCAGCCCTGGCTGAACACCGCTCAAGCACAAAACGCCCTTGGTGTTGATCTGAACTACACGTCAAACAATTTGCTCTATACTGCCTATACCCTTTCAGGTGACTTTGCAGTCGGATATCTTCCGGATGTCGAAAAGCTTCTTGAACTTGATGTCCAGGTGTCGTTGGTTTATGGAGACGCTGACTACATCTGTAACTGGCTGGGCGGCGAGGCGCTCTCACTTACAGCCAACTGGTCTGGGGCCGAAAGCTTCCGTGACGCAGGCTACACCAGTTTGATGGTGGATGGTGAAGCGTATGGCGAAACTAGGCAGTACGGAAAACTTAGCTTCACTCGGGTTTGGAATGCTGGGCACGAGATTCCTTGTGAGTAGTCCCATTTCGCTGCTCTTACGCAAGTAGCCAGAGGTCTCAATCTGGGAAACACTAACTCCTAGCAGACTTTCAACCAGCTGCAGCCTTCCAGATCTTCAACAGAACAAGCAATCGTTTCGATATCGCCACGGGAGAAATCAAGATCAGCCCTGATAGCACGTATCAGACGAATGGAACTGCCAAGACTACCAAAACAACCTCACTTCCGCCCTTGACGGCACAGACAGGGGCTTGACCGGCCAAATCAGGCGTTCCCCTTTCTCATGAGACTTTAGAGACATTTTGGCGATGAAGTACAAGTTAATCCGATTTTAAGGTCTTCATTGGGTTTAAATCATCTGAGACATTAGCCTGTAGGAATCAGAATGTATGGGGTATGAAAGTGGACGGAGTATCGAGGCTTTTCAAACGTAGTGCAATGAGAGGTACGAATAAACCGAGTAAAATGAGCAGAATCGCATCGCAATTTAGTCATGTGCAGTGAAGTTGATTACCTTGACATGATAGAAAGTTGTCCCATCCAGATGTCTAAGTAGATTCATGCATCATAAGCTCATTTCAAAGCCGAATTAGTCCCTTAAAGGATTTGAAACCGGGATCTAGGATATGATCATATCTAACTCGATGTTGCAATAAGGACTGGACTGAGACTATATCCTGATCAGGATGCCTACTTAGGTCTTCGGCAGCTTATAATCCACCTCCTGTCACAAGAGGGCCATTGCCGAAAGGAGATGGATGATGTTGTAGCGAGTAACTCACCCGAGATTCAGCCTTGATGTAACCAAGTATCATAGTAAGTGAATTCCGTGAAACAACAAACAAACAGTTTCATCTAGGTACACAAGCCAGTCGAGACAACAGTTCTTGTTATGTTCAGCGCCGAACTCAAACCAGGCCTAATTTCTCAATGCGATCCCCCAATACCTGCAATTAAACCCTCTTACTTTACTTACTCTTCAGCACAGGGAACTGTGCTATGTGTAGCTTTGCAGTTCCGTATGGAACTAGGCGAGCTACAAAGGCCTCTTCATGCGAAGCTGTATCAACTGCACTGGGATCTGCCGCTGTTCCATTCCGAACCGGCCAGTCCACCCCAGCAGCTTCAACCTCAAGATGTACGGGCGAAGTTCCTGAAGCCCAAAGTGGATTTGGGAGAGCAGTGACCTGTCTTTCAGTTCCTTTCATCCATGGGTCTCTCTTGACGACCACCTTTACGCCCCTGCTCGGGTCAATTCCTATGTTCCAACGAGAGTTTGGAAGGTAATCATGATCACGACACGCTTTCATCCACGGCTTCTCGTCCAAGTCGCTGATATTTGCGACTTCCGTACAATCGGAGGCTTGGTCTTTGTAGTTGCGTGGCAGTCTTGTGTGCGTTTTGTGGCCGATCTCGAAGGCATAGAGCAAGGCGCCATGGTAGATGCTGACGGACTTGTCGTCGTGCTCCTTGATCCTCACTTCCGCGCTCAGCGTGACGAAAATGTCGAATTCGCCTCCAGCGGGAATCTTTAGACGGTGAAAATTTTCTGAATCTCTACTCATCGTAGTCGAGCCAAAACGTTGTGTTTCTGGCCGAGACGGTGATCCGCTTTCGTACAGCTCTACGGTTGAAGAGGTTGTTGACCAATGTGGTACTCGAATGAGGAACTCAAACGCCTCGCTCGTCTGGATAGAGTAACGTATTGCGCAGGGAACAAAGGGGTAGTTGGATTCGCAGTTGATGCTTATCCCGTCGATATCCAGCCGGGATGGAATGAGATGGACATGAGCAACAGAAGGCATGCCATTTCTGGTCCGACCTCGGAGGAATGCGTTCATTAACATCTTAGGGTATGCAGTAGGGTGATTGACAGTGCAGCACGGCTTTCATTTTCAGTCAGTCAAAGACCCATAATTGAGTTGTGCGTATGTCTAGGTAGAACACTGACAAATTCTGGCTCCAGTCCAAAGACGTTGGCGTATCGGCAGACGTCATAAAATGGCGTCTTATCGCCTTTGGTAAGTTCCAACTCGCAGGCCCATGGCTGGTTGACCTGAGTGATGTATTGGTGGCTCCACCAATCTGCACTGATTCCAGCTGGGATAGCGTTGAATGCTGCCAGTTCCACGCGGTCGGCCAAGTCATTGTCCCCGAAGAGTTGGTACAGGTATGACAATGAGAGCATGAGCTCGACGGAGCAGCAAAGCTCGGAGCCACGTTGAGGAGATAGGCCGCCGATGTATTCATCGCTGCTAAGTGATCCAGCTGGAGTTCCGTGATACTTGAAGGTCTTGGCAACAGCATCTCTAGATAAGTTCGCCAGCTCAGGAGACGGGTGCATTCGATTCAGATGAGCTGGATAACGAAGTCCTGCATATACGATGTCAATAACAGCGTACAGACCCCCCCCAGGAACACTCACCTTGCGCAACATTGACACCATGTTTAAAATTCAGAGACTTGTATCTGACAGATGGCTCTTGTGGAAAATCCTTTCCGAAGAAGATGGTCCAATCTCTCTCCATGATTCGAGATCCTTCCCACATCATCTCCATGACTTCCCAGATAATTCTGCGGTCTTCGGTATCTTTCGTCTGGTCGTAAAGCCACTGAAGCGTCAGTGCCAGCTCGTGGGCACGGGCAGCCCCAAAAAGTTGCAGGTCGAAGACATCGTCCTTCTGTGGAATGTACCCAGCATAGTTATCGCTGAGCATGGCGTGCACTAATCTAACAAAACGGAAGATCGCGTCCATGATGGCCTGGCGTTTTGTTGAGTCCGCGATGGCATGATTTATGAGGCCTTGAAGTAAGAGACAGCGCGCCCAGATACCGCGGGTATGAGCGGTTGTCTCTGGGCCAAGCCAGCCATCGGCAGCTTGATGAGACAATGTGTAATCAAGAAAATAATCCGCCTGTGTCTTAATTTCGAGGAACAACTCCGGATCCGATACCTCGTCAAGCGTGTATGCCAAGGGAACAATGTAGTTGTACCAGTACGGGGCTGCTTCGTTCAAGGGGGTATACTCCCACGTGCCTCCAAGCCAAGTGCTTTCTTTGACGAATCGATAGAAGTAGAACAAGTTGCCTCCAAGGCCCTTTGCGCTAAGTCGCAATTGATCTCTTAACCAGCCATTGGGCTTTATGGTTCCCAAGGGATAAGTATCGAATTCAAGTGGTACTAGGCAGTGATCGGAACCGGGAACAGAAGACATGTTGACAGCTAGTTGCTGACCGATTATCAGTACTCAGATTATGCTACGTGAAGGAGCTGTAGGACCGATTATGATTTTGTAGTTTCTGAAGTGAGACTCTTCTTCTAAGCCCGCACCATTGCATGAAAGAATCCAATCAGGATGCTAATCGTGAACGATTACCTAGAAAAACATTACTTTCTCCTTATTCAGGCTGTGCATATGTCGCTCCTATGCCTGGAAAAGATCACCAATCGCTTGATATCGGCTCGATGCTAAGACGGTGAAGAGTTGGTAAAGGTGATCTACTCCAGTGTGCGTCCCATCCGTACGACGGGTAAGGATGTGTTTCTGAGTCGCAGTGTGCTTAATGCGTGATCGGGAGCGTCTCCGAATCCTACGGGCCAATAAGCCGGACCAATGAGGCAATGCGGCCTGATTGATAAGGAGATTCCGATCAAGCGAATGGCGATGGGAAAAGACACGGTTGTGCTGATGGCTTGTTTATCTCGTGTTGACGCTCAATGTGTCCTCCACCACATAATATTCAATCAATACACGAATTGTTGAGGTACCTTAGTTCACACAATGCCAGGTTGCCCCCAGGCTTTACTGCAGATTAACGAAGGTAAGGCAACATATCTACTGCTTCTTGTAAGATCACCAGACATCGAATATACTAAACTAAAGAACAGATAACATGGATCTCCGAAATCCTTCTTGGAAGTACATCGGCAAGGACTTGCCCCCTTGACGGGAGGCATCGATATACATAGCACTCTGGACAAGGTGCATGTGACGAGTCTTGATGCCGAGCATGATATTGATGCGCCCAGTTGGAGATTTGTCGACTCTGAATTTGCTTCATCGCAAGGGAAATGGCGCGTTGCAACCTCATCTTCACAGTAACAAGCGTGCACCAACAAAGCGCAGGGTTTTCTCGGTTATTTAATTTAGGCTAAATCGGAATCGACTCACTTTCTTGGAATTCATCATTTTATGTAGAAGGTACTCCGTAGTAAACCGAAGAATCACTGCCAATGCGTATCTACATCGCTGTTTTCTATACATCGGTTGGTAGCATGCATAGGTTGATCACATGGTAAATTTCGAGATATGGAATTTGAGGCTCAATCTCATAGCTTGTCCAATTTGACTGCTTTTAATGATCCCGATATCATATTTGTGGCGTCAGGAGTAAGACACCAATAAGCGTGTCAAACGGTCAAACTCAGAGCCCTGAGCAACGAAGCCGAGGGACGCCAACTATCAACTGCCCCGAATTCAGAGGACTGTTGAAGTCCCTTTATACATATACCAATGGGCTTCGAACAGGCGGTCAGCGGAGACATGACTGAAAGTGGGTGATTCGCGGGACCAGAATCTTGAACGAATGAACGCCGTTTAAAATCAGGCACCCACGTTTGTCGGCCAACGCCAAGGAAGAGGAGCAACTCGACCTCACCTCGTATTGAATTATCCAGTCAGCCGGGCATCCATGCGTTACTTCCCCCAACGAAGTTGCCTCTCTTGAAGAAAATAAATCAGTCTTCATAGTCAGTTGACGTTCGTGTCTGTCAGGTTCGGCCCTTTTTCTTGTGCGAATCTTCATCGACAAACATGGCAAGCCACGCTGCGGACCCTCCGCCCTTAGGAGCAAATCTCAACGAGTCCGAAGTCCAGCAGAATGAATTAGAGGCAACTCAAGAGCAACAGCCCTCTACTCACTTGCAAGGGTGGGCACTAGCTTCTCTGACTATCGCCTTCATGGCCGTTTGCTTTGTGCTGGCACTTGACAATACAATTTTGGGTTCGCAAATATCCCCCCTCTTGCCATGACAGAGAGAATCATGCTGATGGAGTTCGTTGACCAGCGACGGCAATACCCCAGATCACCAGTGATTTCAAAAGTCTCAATGATATCGGTTGGTATGGATCCTCCTACCTGATCGCGCAGATGGCAATGCTGCCAACGTGCGGCCGCCTCTACGCCTTTTACAACATCAAGTGGATGTACTGCATATCTCTCGTCATCTTCGAAGTCGGCTCCGTTCTCTCTGCCGTCGCACCGAACTCAATGGCCCTCATCATCGGAAGAGCCGTTTCTGGAGTGGGAGCTGCCGGTTTAGTGAGCGGAACTACAACTATCCTGTCGTACTGTGTCCCGTTGGAAAAGCAGGCAAACCTATCACCGGTCATTTTGGGTCTTGTCGCAAAAACGACGCCGTTAATTACGGGCATCAATTGACGCCAAATATACCCTACGACAGGTCTATAGTACCGGATCAGCCATAGGACCGCTGGTAGGTGGTTCCATCACGGACAACAAAGCGCTTTCTTGGCGCTTCATCTTTTGGCTCAACCTTCGTAAGTGTATCCTCCCGCAATCTTTTTGATCACCATCAGTTGACGGACCTCAGCCTTTGGAGCTATCGGCCTGGCTCTCATCTGGCTCAGCTTAAGAAACTCTCCACCTGCCGTTAAGGGCGACCTGCCGTGGAAGGACAAGATACGCCAACTCGACATGCTAGGCGCCACGCTACTCCTCGGTGCAACATCCTGTTTGAACCTCGCTTTACAGTGGGGCGGAATTGCGTATCCATGGTCTAATCCCAAGGTATTCGGATGCCTGGTCGGATTTGTTCTGCTACTTATTTCCTTCGTTGGTTTACAAGCCCTAGGCAAAGAAACGTGGGTGATGTTCACAATTAGTTACTACATGGGCTAGGGAGCCTGATGCTTTCTTTTGGGACGCCTGCTGATTTAATCTCAGTGCCACTGTTCCCCTCCGTATCTTGCGAGGCCGGACTGTCGTCGCATCATGTTGTTTCATGATGCTAGTTCAAGTGGCTATAGTACTGCACTCGTACTACTGGCCAGTTTACTTCCAGTCGGTCAGGAACAACAGCGCCAGAGACTCAGGCATATTTCTACTGCCAATCATCGTGTCTAATAGTCATGGTACACTATGCGCGGGCTGGATCTCATCCAAGTCTGGTCACTACGTCCCTTTGATGTGGATCGGTGCTCCTTTCTTGGCCGTTGGAGGCGGTCTCTACCAATTGATGTACTCTCAAAGCCCGCGCGGGCAATGGGTACCAATCCAAATCGCATCTGGGCTTGGGTATGGGATGTGCAGCCAGATGCCGATTCTTGCGGTCCAGGTAGTTCTCGACAAGACGGACGTGCCGACGGGCCTCGTACTTATTATGTTCTTTCAGATGCTCGGGGGTGCTCTAGCTCCCAGTATCGGACAGAATCTCTTCACGGATGCACTCTTGCGACTTCTTAACGCAATCGAGGGAATCGATGGCGCAGCTGTGGTAGCGGTCGGTGCAGGGGAGTTCAGGAAGATTGTCCCCCCGCAGCTTTTGGAAGCTGTCGTCAATGCGTTCAACTCTGCTTTGAAAAAGGTCTTCTGGGTTGCCCTTGCTACCCCGGCCCTTGCTTGGCTGGTCAGCTGGGCCATGGAGTGGCGGCAGATACCTAACACCAAGAGTCGGACTACGGAAGACCCCGAGGTAGTATCTCTGAGGAATCTGTAGCTTAGATCGAGGGAGAAAATTGTGTTGTGCTGGATTTAATTTCAGCACAGCTGGTTTTTGAAGAACAAGCTCATTACTTATTAGTCTGTGCCTTCAACCAAGCAGAAGCCACAGTGAATTCCCGGCGGGAATGTTCTATCAGACAACAAGAACCTTTAGTCTTAGAGAAAGTACCATTCTCAAGAGATCGGACTGAATGTTATTCAAGATGTTATGGAAAAGCCTAGTGTTGATTGGAGTTGATCTAATTGACAATTTCATCCTTCGCCCAGAAGAAGGCGCATAGCAACGTGCGGAGTTCTTTTCGAAAGATAGTAGGGAACCTTTGGCCCGGGTTCGGGTTCGGGCTCGGCGGGGTTGAGCGTGGCCTACCTTAGAAGTAGCCGAGGTAATGCATCTTCATAGGGACTTGATGCGGAAAAGACAAAATGACGTGAACCAGCAGAGAATTACGATTTCATACTTGGTAGTCTTCCGGAGCCAGATCAAATTGGTGAGACTTTGACTTTAAAGATGAGTATTTCTTCTATATGACCGATGCCCAGAGCTCTTCTACCGCTGGACAATTCTCCATGACTGCAACACACTCGGGGCCAACTATTGCCGATACTGGCCAAACGACAGCCCACGCATATCTGTTGATATTTATCTCGGACCTCGGGCATGATCTTCGGTAGTGCATATTCTTTCTAATGCTTTCTAGTAGGTGCTACAACTAGTAATCGAGCATCCTCGCTCTAGGCTTGACCTGACTCCAACAAGCTCCCAAACGAGATACAGATTCGATGGCTCCCGATGCCGGAGACAAGACGATCGCCTCACAGGACAGTTCAAAAGTCCACAAAAGGGCTTCTCATGCTTGTCTAGTCTGTCGAGCTCGTAAAGTGAGGTGCGATGTCACCGTCCGTGGTCCTCCGTGCATGAACTGTCGTCTCGACGGCGACGAATGAGAAGTAATGTGGTCGAGACGAACAAAGCAACAGTGAAGTTATACACCGCGATGGGAAATGATCCACCAGAAAGACCACTAATCACGTTGATATCTAAGTTGGCGGGCAAAGGGCCTCGATCCTTGGAAAGGGGCCTTCGGTATTTCCAAACCACGCCATCCCGGCAAAGTGCCTTCGCAGGGTCTTGGGGGCGGACCTGAAGTTGAAAGTCCAAGACTCGACAAAGCCCAAAAAGCCACTGAGAAGTCGCCAACGTCCGCCAAACCTGCCTCAATACCTACAATATTCGGAAGCCCAGAGGTCCTGAATTCATTGTCTGAAGTCCCGAGGCGGTTAAACTCGGCCCAGGGCAATGACAATGACATTCGTCCTGCTTCTGCGACAACCTAGGTGAGGCTCAGTGCAATGAGTGCAACATCCTTTGACGCCTACTATGACCGACGATCAGCAGATGTAGACAACGTGACAAAAAAGACACGTGCCTCAGCCCCACAAGCCAGCTATGTTGAGAGGCAGGACACGATGAGCGAGATAACTGGGTTTCCGGAGAACTTCTTTTGCTCGCCGTGGTATAACGGCTATGCGTACTATCAGTTTCTAGTTTTGACTAATCTTTCATCTATGCCGTCATAGGACTAAGTTAACTAACTAACTAGTTAACTTAGTTATTATTATTATTATTATTAACTAAGTTAACTAACTAGTTAACTGTTACGAGCTGGACAAGGCAACCAACTGTGGCACAAAGCAAAAGCTTCGATAATGATGACTCCGGTCATCATTGTCCCTTGTTCTGCATATATAGCTACGCGCCCACAGTGACAAGTTGCGGCGGGCGTAACATTAACGTTAGTTATCACTTTCCATGTTTAATACATTCTACATGGAATATATTCTAAGAAGTATAATATAAGTAATAATAGTAGTAATAGGAATAATAGTGGTAATAGGAATAGTAGAAAGAGTGATAGGGAGGGTATTGAGCGGCATTTCATTTTGTCACCCACTTGGCAAGTTTGGTTCGGGCCCGAAATACCCCTTGGGGCCAAGTGGGCTTCAGTCTCTGCCAACTGAAAGATGGGCGCTAAATTCTAGAACCTGGACAAGCCATCCTTTTACGGGTACTCTTGTGGAGCTGTGGTCAAGAATTTTGCGTCCTGTATCTCGTCTGGTACTACCGAAATGAGTACCTCCGCGTACTAACTTTGAGTAAGAAACTTGGGGCTACGTGACGTTGGCACGCAGTGATACTTCATGTTGGATCTTTCCTGCTTTTCTTATCCATCAACACACACCAGAAAGCTCTATCGAGTAGTTTCTTGCGTGCAGAGATACCGAGTAAAGTAATCGACAGATTGAGATTACCTTACTACTAAGTAGGGTACTCTAGAGACGTAGCAGAAATGTGCTCTTTCACTCCCGTTACCCCGCGTTTACCCTGCAGGATGCGGCATTGGCGCCGTGTGGGGATTCTGCCGGCCTACCGGCGCTACACTTTCAACCGCTTACCAACACATTCTCCATGTTGTCTCTCGTTCTTTAACCGCCCCTCCGCATACTATCGCGCGCTTCACGTGGCCCAGACTCTCCCTACGCCATATGCTTGAACCATGGCTTGCAAGGCATGCCGCGCAAAGAAGATCAAGTGCGACCGCGTCCGACCCGTTTGCCAAAACTGCAGACAACGTGCCAGCCTCTGTTCTTACGCTGGCGAGCGACGGGTGCGCCGATGGACAGAAGCCGACGCCGAGAACAGATGCCGTTCCATCTCTCAGAATGATCAAAGCCCGAGTGTGGCCGACATAGATCAGCATTCCGTGCAGAGACTGCCCGATGCCGACCCCGCTGCACACCAGAATCAACCGAGACCATGCCCCCAGCCTACTGCCGGCTCATCGCACTTTATGGCTGACGGGACCGCGCAGAATGACGCTGGATTAGATCTTGGCTGGAATCCCGCCGCTCCGTCAGACTGGCAAGTCATGGATGCGAATTCCATGGCTAATCTCTTCGCTCAGATGGCCCGCGACAGTGAGGTCATCCTCCAAAATCCCGCCGGTTCCACCTCAACTAAAGGTGAGAGTCTGCTTGACAAGATCCTAGACGGCGATGAGGACTTGGACAGCCTCAAAGACGCCAGTCCGGCCCTGTGGGGCCGAAGCAATGACGGTGATGAGTACACCGGCCCCTCCTCCGGCATCTCCACCGTTTCCGACCTCGGTCTCAGCTGGATACGAGAGAAAGTACCCGACTCGGATATTCTCTGCGAGACTATTCAAGATTTACGAAAAGGTATCTTGAGTCATATTCGCCAACCAAAGTGTATCACCCAAGACTTGCCACTCGCTCTATTGACGCCTCATCGGATTCTCGACCTTCCCCAGTCGCAGCTACTAGAGTATGTCGATGCCTATTTCACGCAAGTCCAGGTCGTCTTCCCCATCTTAGACCCCGACACCTTTCATTCTCAGCTGGCTGAAATGGGAGGTGGTTCCGGTGCTGTTCAAAAGCCGTCTTGGATGGCATTGTTGAACGTCGTCGTGGCCTCAGGACTTCGAGCTTCACTCTCTGACGAAACATCTGAGGCTTTTCAAACATCCGGATCTGAAGCGTGGGGATACTTCCGGTCAGCTCTATCGTACGAGTCTCAGATTGTTCACGGTGCCACCGACCTGTTGGCCGTGCAAGCAATAGCTTTGATGGCCGTCTTTGCGCAAGGGCTGTCAAGTCCCCAGAGGCTGGAATATACACTTTCCTCGGTGGCTTCACGGCTAGCACAAAGTATTGGACTCAACTGCACCCCACCCCCCGAGTGGAACCTTTCTGAGGTTGAGAAGAAGGAGCGGAATCGCGTCTTCTGGACAGTCTATTGTCTGGACAAGTCAATCGCCTTACGCTGTGGCCGACCTGCAGTTCTCTGCGACGAAGAAATTAGCTGTCGCTTCCCGCAAGGAATCGACTTGGTCCATTCGAGGTCAGGAGATACCGACACCGAGATAGGCGAAAAAACGTTGGAGGTTGACTTCTTTCGATACTTTGCAAAGCTTGCGCGCATCGGCGGGGACATATCCCGGTCCTTGTATTCTGCGAGCGCTCTCTTTATTCCAATGTCTCGGCTAGTTCCAACGTTGGATCGATTGCTTCGAGATTTGGAGGAATGGCTGGAGTCTATTCCAGCCAAAGTCCGGCCCGGTAGACCACTAAGCAAAGTCCTTGGGAGACAGGGGCTATCACGAGTACAGATCATTGTTCTGCATTCATCCTATTACTACGCGCTGTGCTCCATCTTTCGACGAGGATCACCCATGTTCAATCAAGGTAACCGGATTATAGAACACCTAATTGATAGGAGGTCTCATATATCACACATCGAGGCTGCAAGATCGATTGTCTTACTCACAAAGCACCTCGATATCGAGAGCTTCACTCCCGCATGGTATGTCTCACCCTCCTGCTTTCACCTCAATTCAAAAGTCAAACCATCCAACGAGCCGCCCCACAGCCTCTATCACTTCTGAAGTCATTAAGTACATACACACAGCTCGCTTGGCTGCTCTACTACAGACGATTTTCGTGTTCTAATTTCTCACATACTGGAAGGCTCGTCTTCTACTATCCATTCACAGCCTTGACCACAATCTTCATTCATGTAGTATCCAACCCACACGATAGCCGCAACCAGAGCGACATAGCCCTCATGGAAACTGTCGTTGGATTCTTTGGTCGCCTCGAATACGTCACATCCGGCGAAGCTGCCTTTACAAAAACGACAGAATTTGTCAGACAGGCCCGAAGGGTTATCGACAGTTACAAAAATAAGAGCGATAGCCGAAATCTCCAAAGCACAACGAGCTATGAGGATAGCATGACGTCTATGGAGATGCCCCTGCAGGAAGGTGCCTCTACGCAAGGTAGACCAACAGAGGTGGTGGAGATGTACGCGAGCAATTCAAACACTACTAGCCACGACGTCGATGCATCAAATACCGCAGGCATTGGTTTGCTCCCCCAGGTCGAATCTTCGCGAATGGATACCGTTGGCGGAGAGGATCATCCTGTGTCTGGCGTCCCAAATGATCGGATCATAGGCGTTCCGCATAATAGCCATGCACTCTACTCCGACGTGGCTAATTTTGCAGTGCCCAATGTCGGAGACTCGATCCAAGTCCAGTGGTAGTATCCCATGGAGTGCGGATGGACAACACTTTCGCCAAGGGCGGGGTAGAGCCAATAAGGGCTTGCAAATCTATTAAGTTAACCAATAGGGCTGCAGTACCTCTATTTCCTATAAATTTTGGGTGTGCCAGAGGTACTAGCAATCTTTACTGATATATAACGGTACATTACAATCTAAGTAGCCCTTTCGAGTTGTCTGCCATCGTTACCGAGCGATGGTATTCCTAGATATCTCCTTTAAAGCCTTCCTACTACTATAATAGGTATAAGGTAAAGATACCTTTCTTGATCCCTTCCTATATGTTACGACCCAACATGCATGACCAAGAACAGGGCCTGCCCCGCAGGCTTACGGCGGTTACGATACGCCATATATGCACAGGACAAGGGGACACAAGGCACCCTCTCACGGAACGGAAGAACTATGGTACAAGTCACGTGATGATAAGATAAGGATCATTTGGGATCAATATGATCCAACACGACTTGGGGGCTAAACGATCATTCTGGATCAGAATGACCCAAGACGACCCAAGGGACAAGGGACATGTTCAGGATCAGGACTTGTATATAAGGATGGACTTGAGCTGGACTCTAAGACAGACTTCCATAGCTCTTCAGCAATTAACTTCGTATCAGGATTAACATCCGCTTTCAGCTACTACTACCTTGACAAGACTACGATTGATCACCGAAGCCTTACCTACCCTTACGATTGACAGACATAGTTTCCCTGAAGCTATCCCCGACTACGAATACTGTTACCAGTTCCGCAGCCTCAACTTCTGCAAACATACCTCACTACGACTAGCTGGCCGTAACACTATACTGTTCTTATAGAATAGAGGTATTCCTTTTATCTATAGCCCGTCTAGGCCGTGATAGTCTTTACCTGCCTACTAATGGTCTAAACCGTTAAATAAGCTAGGCTACCAGTAGTCACCGCCATTAGTAATAGGATGTTACGGCCAGCTAGTCGTAGTGAGATATGTTTGCAGAAGTTGAGGCTGCGGAACTGGTAATAGTGATAATCGAATGTAATAATCAGATGATTATTATATGTGGTTAGTGTTACGAGCTGGACAAGGCAACCAACTGTGGCACAAAGCAAAAGCTTCGATAATGATGACTCCGGCATCATTGTCCCTTGTTCTGCATATATAGCTACGCGCCCACAGTGACAAGTTGCGGCGGGCGTAACAGTTAGGTAGTCTCAGGTTCGTTATATCCGTATGGTAAGTAAGGCTTCGGTGATTAATCATAGTCTTGTTAAAGAGGTTCTTAGGGAAGATAGCTAAAAGCGATCGTAAGATCTAATACGAAGTTAATTGCTAAAGAAGCTATAGGAAGTCTGTCCTAGAGTCCGGCTCGAGTCTATCCTATATACAAGTCCTAGTCCTAAATATATCCTTTGTTAATAATTAGTCCTTCTAATCGGGTAAGCGCTTATTGTTCCTGTATGAGCGCTCATTACTTGGCATGAGCGCTCATGGCCCCACCATGGTTGCTCATATCTTATCTTATTATTACGTGACTTATACCATAGTTCTTCCGTTCCGTGAGAGGGTGCCTAGTGTCCCTTGTCTCCTGCATATATGGTGCGTTGTAACCGCCGCGAGCCTGCGGGGCAGGCCCTGTTCTTGGTCATGCATGTTGGGTCGTAACAATAGGGTCCTCCCTCTATTGCTAGGTTAATTAGTAGGTTAATAATCTAGATTCCTTATAAATCCCTATATATAATAGGATCCCTAGGAAGAGGTAGATCTCGTCTACTAAAGTCTTCCTCTACTTATATATTCTAGCCCGTCTAGCCCTAGGGCCCTCCCCAGATAACGGTGCTATATTCGTCCACTGGGCCCACTGCTCTATAAGGCTCTGCGGAACGTATTAGAGGAATAGTTCAAGCGGGCTTGCCGGCAGCCCCCGTATCTCTTAGGCCCGGGCCGGCACGTTAATGGGCCGGAAGGAGCCCGGAGGACCATACTCAGTAGCCGGAGGTTCGTAGGGCCGGACTATCCCATCGAGTGCTGAATGGCAACAGTACATCCAGTGAGGGGTAATAGCCACTCAGAGACCAGCCAAGCCTTTTTCCAACCAATCAAAAGGCCTAGTTTTCTAGTACCTCTTCCGTCTATATATTCTGGTTATGAAATAGGTACCAGCAATCTTCTGAGTTACAAATCGCAACCCCACACTGCTCACACCCTGACCTCGTCTTCTTCCTATGGGATCGTGAGTTTCCTGAGACTTCGCTAAGCGCCTTCTTTGGCCGATTACACGCAATGCAGGCGGAGGCGCTCTTCCGCGAGACCCTTATATGCTGTTGCCACGGAACAGAGTTATTTCTCGTATTGTCGGCTTCCGCTCGGGTACGTTGAAGGGGTTGAATACGCTGCCCCTTTCGAGGGATGGGGGCTCATATGGGCGTACGACCGCATTATCGCATCTCTCGGGTGTACAGTCAGCAGTACAGGCAGCGGCTAGGTCTTCGGGAAGTACGGCGACGTTGATACACGACCGTACCGACCCCTCGGAATCGCTAGAAGTCATCGCGACGTTTCATCACATAGGAAAATGTCGGTCTTGGTGGTGAAAATAGGGAGGAACCTATAGGGGTAAATGACGTACCGTCATGTATCGCTGTTGTGAGGGTGAAAAGTGGGTAATAATTGGGGGGGGGGATGTACTGTTGCCATTCAGCACTCGATGGGATAGCTGCGTCACAGCGCTCGGGCATATAGTCTATATTACAGGCAGCAGTAAGGTCTTCTAGGTAGACCTCAACTACTATACAGCTACGTATAAAAGTAACAGAAGTATTGGATGCAATAGAGGTATCAAAATCACCAGAAGACATCACAGCATCAATCAAAATGGTAATAATAGTAATAATAATAGGCAAAAGAGCATAGGGATGAGTAACGTATCGTCAAGTACCCCTTTAAATGCGGGGTAATAGTGGGTATTTCGTGGTCTTGGCGAAAGTGCTGTCCATCCGCACTCCATGGGATATCTCTGGGAACCATCATCATCTCCATCCCCCAGTTTCTTATTCTATCTTAGCGATTGGCCATTGTTGTTTGTTGCCTAACAACGAATGAACACCATCCATGGCATGAGACATTTGTTATGCACGGGTAATATCTGGATAATTACTTCGTCGGGTATGAGTGCTGAGCCAAGTTGCGGGACGGATTTTGAGACCTCCGTTAAGCATGAGTAGAGTGGGACGTTCACAGTTTGTTCCATTCATCACAGGAACGAGATCTTGTACAATGGGGATCGAGATTTTCTTTTTCAAAATTTCTGTAGATTATGTAGTAGCTGTCTAATAGAGAGGTACTTACTCTGTGACTTGCCCGTGTTATTACAATACACTACTGCCATCCATTACTACCTTGACCGCAACCCACAGTTAAACCACTACAAATAGCATGATCTTCACGGATACAGATTGAGCGAGTGAACTATTTTCTGAATGAAGGCATAACCCGTCATTCCAACCCACTCGGGTTTGAAGCCCGGGCCCGAGCCCGAACCGGTAGTACGTAGGATGAAATTTGAACCCGACGGCCCAATAAGCTCACAGCCAAGGCCGAAGCCGAGGCCGGGAAGGTGGACTGCGGCTTTGTGCGGGGAATTCCGAGTTGAAATCCTCGTGATCACGAGTACGAGTGAATCATCCGATAATATTAAGGTAGAAACAGCCTCATAGGGCAAGCTGGGCCAAGCTGGGGTGGCACTACATGCTCGAAAAGTCCGGCAGCCCGCGTGGGCCAATCTCGCGCCGCTTCTTCAACACCTTCTCGTCCTCGCCGGAGCGCAAGGCCCCAATCATCTCCTCGGCGCTAAAGTCTACACCAATAGGATTCTCAGTGAAGGCACCGCTCATCATGGAGGCAGTTGCCTCCTCGACCGTGTCAAAGTTGTCGACCTGCGTCTCCAGCATGTTTCCGTCTGGATCCTTGTAATAGATGCTGGTCGTAGGGCCGTGATTGACGCACCAGACGGGCTCGATGCCACGAGCCTTGCGGTGGCGGTAGGACAACAGCAGGGTCTCCAGAGTATCAAAGGTGAAGGCGATGTGCTCGAGGCCGCAGCTCGCCGGGTTCTTGGTCGCCGTGCCTGGAACTCCGATCAGGGCGATGCGGTGGTGCTCGTCATCGTAGGTGATGAAGGATATCATCTCGTTGCCGTAGGTCACGGTGCCGCCGAGAAATGTAGTGTAGAACTCGACCATGCGGGCGAGGTTGGCGGTTCGTAGTACAACGTGGGCGAGCCTTGATGGGCTCATAACCTTGCTGACTGGAGCGTCGTAGTCGGGGGCCTTGGGAGTTTGTGACATTTTCCCTCTCCGACTTTAATGTCTTGAAGCTTGTTCTGGTGGTTTTTTGGGTCGTTACCTAGAAGCGAGCTTCTAGGTTCGTGTTTATAATCGTAGGTACTTGTTTCTTGTGAAACACTGACCAACTGAACTTTCTAAAGAAATGATGTTATCCGTTGCTTCTCGTAAAGTCATGTAAGGTAATTACATCTGTGGCAAAGATAACGACAATAATTTTGATAGCTGGTAAGCCAAAATTGACCTATCAACGCATCTCCCCAAACCATTTGATAATCTCCTCTAGGGCTCCAACCCGAGCCCGACCCCGAGAAGACGAAGATGCGACGGAAAGCGAACGGACGAGCGCGTCTTCGCGTCTTCGCGTCTTCGCGTCTTGCTAGAACGCGACGAATAGGGGACAACAAGGTGCGTCATCTGAAGCTTAAAGGAATTCTCCCGTGCGCCCTCAATTTCCAACTCGCGGTGAGATGTCGCCAAATCAAGACTCTTCCCCCAAAGAGTGACCACTGACATAACACCATCTTGACACCACTCTGCAATCGAATTGTTCTGAGTAAATCCCGACACGCAATGAGCTACGTCACTAACGCTACCGCCTGGCTGTCTGATTCTATCAACTCCCAGACCAAAAGCCTGATCGCCGCCTTCTACGAGCTCGCAGACTCCAAGGAGGAGGACGCGGGCCACCGACTGTCCACCGAGGTATTTTCGAATGATGCGACCTTCATCAGTCCTAGTGGGACTTTTCATGGGTCTACAGGTGAGATCGATCTTTCATCGCGGTGATACAGATCCTTCGAAAGCTGTCTTCTTTGATGACAAACAGGGGCTTATGTGTTCCGTGCTCGACAGAGATATCAAAATGCAGAGAAGGTGCATGGAGTGTCGTGACTTTGAGGAGGCACATCATCTCAAAGGCGTTCGCAGCACTCGCAGGCACAAATACGAATAGCAAGACTGAATTAGTCTTGCTCGGGTCCGTCCACATGGAGTTTATCAACAAGAAGAGTCTCGACTCGCCGTTCGCAGCTCACATTGTCATTGGGTCCTCCACTCAAGCATTAGCGGAGCCTCGTATCGAGTTTATGGAAGCGTTTTCTGTAAGTCATAATCCTTTGTATTTTCGTGTTACTTGCCTCAACTAGAGCATTTCTGATATTATTTTGCGGTAGGATAAATCGCGGCTCGCGGAGGTCTTGAGCGCGAGATAGCCCGTTGATGAGAGATCTGAGTTGAAATGCTGTCAATTTTTGGAGCAAGAGATTTTCTTCAGAGAAATGAGTCTGTTCTGAAGTATTCGGCAACAGTGTGTATAGTACCTAAGGTGACCAGACATTGTGTTCGCACGCCTCATCCCGTACTCCGTGGGTGCTGGTCATGCAAAACTAACATTTCATCGGTTCTGTCCCGACCTCGCGTGGTCTTCCTTGACGCATGACTAGATACAATGACTTTATCTTTGGCCTCCGCCGATAAGACCATGAGGCTGGTTTGATGCGGTGGGCGTCTCCTCAGCACAAAAGATGCCCGATTAGTTACATTTGCCTCCTAGATTGTGCTTGATCGTTTTTCTCCAAACCAAGCTGTTAAAGCCCAACTGTGCTCTTTCGGTACCAAACTTGTGCTGAAGACCCTTCATAAAACATGAATCCTGATTCCTCCATCTCAAAAGGGGCCCTTCACTCCGTGCTCTTCTTCTAAGCTGCCCGTGCATTAGACATCCGCTGCTTGCTCTGCCGTACAAGCCGCAACATACTTTAGGGACATGGGTAAAGAAAATCACCCGGCCAACAGCACGATGCCGCCAAGTCCAAACAGCCACGACGTTTTCGGGCGCTTGCGGAATCCTAGCATGTAAGAAACCTGGCAACTCTCATCAGCCTTAGCTCTACCACGCTTTGATATCGACAGTAAGATCGCAGTTGGATTGTTATCGCAAAAACGACGCCGTTAATTACGGGCAGCAATTAACGCCATATATACCCTACGACAATTGTGAATATGTAGACCGAAGCGACCACGTCGCAGGGACGATATTCCGGTTCGGCATACGACCGGGATGCTATCGTCGGAAGCATCAAGCGATACTATGAGCTCATTGTCAAGATGGTCTCAATCAGACCTGACCACATTACTTACCCCCTGGAAGGAGGCTGGGGCGACGATGTCATCCCTCTCGAGAAGTTGCGACGCCTTGGCTTCAACGACATGACGATCGACCTGGTGCGGCATCTCCCGTATGTTACCAGTTACCGACCCGTGTTCCCGTCCACCCAGACCATCAACTATTTTCAGAATGATTTTACTGGGCCCGACGAGAAATATCAACTCGAAGATCCCAATTCTGTTGGACTCTGGCCATTGCCAGAAGGAAGAATCCCACAAGGCATACTCCCACTATCCAAACCGCTGGGAGGAGACGGGCTAGGAATGTGGTGGTTACTCGATACCAACACAGGTAAGTCAAGTACAGGCTTTCGGTTGGGCTTGGAAGGCCCTTGTCTAACCTTTCGGCATGGCAGGCGAGCTCACTGCTCATGACGCATACATCTCAAAACCTGAGGAGGGGATCCCAGAAGACGAGCAATGGCGCAAGGCGAGACCCGTGCATGCCGTCGCGTATTTCGATGGTTTATGCGAAGACTTGATCTCGCTCGAGATGTTACCCGTTCCTGGTGATTCCAACCGCAGCGAATGGCAGGTGTGGCAACCGAAGTGGATGCGCGCTTATCAGAAATGGTTAGATGTGAGTGTACTCTGTGTAAGAGCATGCGAGAGTGTGTGTACCCAAATACTAAGTAAACGGGTAGGAAGCCCAAGAAATCTATCGCAAGTGCCGTTGGCCAGATTTACCGAGATCTCAGCGTCAGAAATGTCGCAAGTTCTTAGTTGAGATGCAAGACAGACTCACGGCTGAGGAAAATGAGAAACTACAGAGAAGAATCGCGGTTGCTTCGGAGACGTGAAGATGGTTCTCGTCTGGCATGTCACTACGGGCTGGGCCAACTTGAATTAATCAAATCAATTTTTATAGTCGTTTGGTGATAAACGCGGGACGGTGATTTGATCATGGCTTGCGCCGTATGCAATTCACCTTGCATTCAAGAATAAAACTTAAAGTACTCATTTGTATGTCAGCCTGACATCTTCTGCTCATCACCAAGTTCGATTGTAGGATAAATCATCAGTGGCTAGCGGTGGTCTTAGGTCTATGTCGTTAATAACTTAATGGACGTCGTCAACAAAAAGGTATTCTACAAACGGTCTGTCGTTAAGCGCCTCACTATGATTTCATTTATGACTAGATGCGACAGATGATCTAGGCCTCTGCGGTATGTGCTAGTTGCTTAAGAACACAAACATTGTTCATCGTATTCTCAACTCTCCTGCTCTCGGCAAAAAGCTGGATGCGGCTTGTTGTAGCGCGTGGCCCCAGTATCTAACAACTATTCCATGCCCATGACCGCTCCGTGCCAAGGCGGCTCGGGCCATAGTCTGAAAATCGGGTGTAAACAGCGATGGGGCCTCCTTCAAATGCGAAACATCTGTGACTCTGCCGACTCTGACGCCTAGCATTTCAACGCTGTTGGCCGCATCGTCAAGTTTGAACTCCAGACCCACAGCACGCGTCATATTCATGAGGAACTGCTTGCTAGCGCTGTATGCTACCAGTAGAGGAAATCCTTGGTCTGCCATGGAGCTGATGTTCATAACCATGGACGGCGCGTTTTGCTGGAGAGTCGGTAGCAGCACTCGTGTTAGATGTAGTGGAAAACGCGCATTCAGGCTGACATTGCTGTTGATCCGGTCCATCGAGCATTCGATGAGAGGCGAGAAAACCGGATTGGTCGGGCCGCCTCCCGCGTTGTTGACGACTACGGTCAGGTGTAACTCGCGAAGCTCTGCTTGGATCGACTCAAAATCCAAAGGAGCTTGCGATGAATCTCCGGTTTGAGATGGCCGCTCAGTCCCACTGCAGGTGATACATGGCACAGTACTCGCGTCTGCCACGCCACCAGTATGCGGAATGAGCTTTCTGGACATTTTATTCGCAAATCAGACGCGTCAGCAGAGAGCTTGGCATGATTCCGCCCGTGAAGTACGACGTTGAACCCTTAAATCGCTAATTCGGATGCAAAGGCACGACCAATGCCGTCTGAAGCACCCGTCACAAGGGCCCAGGGCGCATCGCCGTTCGACGAATTGTGCGCATAACGACCAAGTCTCGAAGGAAGTGTGTAGATGGCAATCCAGTCCGCTATCTTGACGACGGTAATACCGATCGTCAAAATACCGACGAAAGTTATGATGGTTTGCGTGTTCGCCATTTAACGTGCGGGGGAGTTCGTGATGTAACGTGCGGATGAAGGCATGTTTTGAGGAAAGTTGTGCGGAGTTTGAGTTTGTCCAGCCAACTCCGCGCGAATCGGTGAAAGTGAGGAAGACAGTATTATTACAAGCGATAGACCGGAGAAAAATATTCACCGCGGACCGCGCTCCATACGCCACTTCCTTCGATCCTTCCATGAAACTAGGATGGTCACATTTCCAAAGATCTTTTGGAGGCATGATGAGTGCTGCCTGGATCGAATGTATTCCCCCTTGCATCCAGTAGAATGGAACATAATTGGTACTTTTGTCGCTCCAACGACTACCTTAGTCAAAAGGACGAAAATCTTAATTCATGTCGGCATTGAGGTGAGCTCCTGGTCTACGCCATCAATTACGGTGCTCTTTAATAAGGGATCTGCAATACCTCAGTGATATCAAACAGACTGCCTCTGAAGAGGAGCAAATATGCGCGAATCGACTCGTCAGATACAAAAAATGTGAAGTTATGAACGATTTCTTCTGCCCCTAGATGCCGAACCTGAAAAGATCGAATCTCATGATGCCGTCTACCGCGTCCTCGGTGGGCTCTACGGACCGTACAAATTCCAAATCGACGAGATTCTGGTCCATTCTATTTGGAGGCCAAATATCGCCGTAACACGCCACTGGAGAAGCCAAGAGGGGCATGTGTTCCTCGCCCACGACTCGGCACATCAGAACATTCCTACAGGGGGCTACGGGATGAACATGGGCATCGGAGACGCCTTTGATCTCGGATGGAAACTCGCTTCGGTGATCAAGGGTCAGGGTGGCGTAGGGCTCCTCGAGTCTTACGAACTGGAGCGCAAGCCAGTAGCTCTCCGAAACGTGGAACGGTCCCATGTTCATTTCAAAGTCCACAATGAGTTGCAGGCATTGCTCGGCGGCGGAGATCCGCGTCGCGTTGACGCCGATACAGAGGAGGCACGTCTCCTCAGACAGCGTGTTCACGAGTTCTACCAAAGCCACGACGGGATGAACAGGGACATTGGGATAGAGATGGGACACCGGTACACCTCACACATTATTTTGCATCAAGAAAACGACGGTAGCGAGCCTCTTTCGGATCCACGCTACTACACCCCGACGACGTGGCCGGGTGGTCGGCCCCCTCATTTGTTCCTCTCAGATGGCACCGCAATATTCGACAAGTTTGGCAAACACTGGTCGTTGCTTTGCTTCTCTGATACGGATGTGGGACAATATTATCTTGTCAAAGCCGTGAATGATTTGGGCCTGAGCCTGTCGCTGGTTAATCTCTCGGGAGAGACGCAAGCTAGAGCGTTGTATGAACGAGACCTGGTCTTGCTTCGCCCAGACCAACATTTCGCCTGGAGAGCCGAGGCGGTGGAATCACCAGCAATTGCAGACGCGGTCCTACGTACCATTTCTGGTCAAAATGTCGTGGGTGTTAGGAACCTGGTTATCGAAGACGAAAAGAACGGGGTGATGATGGCTTCCGAGAAGTCAATGAAGGCACAGGGCGTTCCCAGCTGAATTAGGGGCGAGACAGATGCTCGGAAACATGCCTTTTTTCTACATTAAACCTGCAATATACGGCGATTGATCATTGACCTTGCCTTTCTTATCTCTCAACTATCCTAAACTACCGACCTTATAGAGATGAGCAGCAGACGTCTGCCGGTATGTTTCATGTGAATGACCCAATATATCGCTCACATCACGGGCGCATTCAGGTTTCCAAATTAACTTAATACAAGCTGTTTGTCAACTCCTTCCTTCCACTGATTTAGAATCTCAATATCACTAAGTTTCGCATCACCAGCCAGCTACGTGATGTACATGACCTTGCCTTGTTCTCTAAGTACTAGAGTTATGACTTTTGGAATCTGAATGATTTCGATTCTCTTCTCCCTATGACTGAGCTTCACACGGCACATGAACAATTCAAGGTAGGTAGTCAGAACCATTACGAAAATCCAAACTAATCCAAATCACAACTAAATGTTGTCTGAAAGTTCATCCGGCATCCAGGTACTGAACGCCATACCCTCCGGGACCTGCTTCCATTGCATGGTGACCGGGTCCAGTGACTGCTTGCACTTGTCAGCGGCATCTCTGATAATAGCGACCTTCTCCGCAGATCGAGGCTTGATTTGGGTGGGATGTTCAGATGGTTGTACGGTAATACCACCGACGAGGTCCTCAATGTCGTATTTCACCTGATTGCCTTTGGCATCTAGGGCCGGGGAGAAGTCGAAAGCCCACAAGAGCCTCGACATGCCCAGGAAGAGCGATCTTTCAGCGATGTGGATACCCTGACACAGGCGTCGTCCCGCGCCGAAGACGAAGTTGTCGCGTTTCTTCGTGTCCCCCATAGCGGACTGGTAAAGCGTCGTGTGGTCACCCCTGAAGCGCTCGGGGTCGAATACGCGGGGGTTGGGCGAACGCTCTTCATCCATGTGGATGGCCCTATTTTGCGTTCAGGCATCAGACTTGTCGCTTCAACAAAACCCTCATGTAGGTAGGGGCTTACTCACCACACATTGTTAACAACAGTCGCACCTTTCGGGATGTTGTAACCCATGTAAACGTCGTCCTTGACCGCAGCATGGGGCACGCCAAGAAAGACAGTAGGCATCCACCGCAGGCTCTCCTTAATGCAACAGCGGATGTACGGGAGGTTCGGATAATCATCAATGGTGGGGAGACGATCGTTGCAGAAGCAGGACTGTTGGATCATTCGTCAGAAAGTTTCTCATTATTTCTCGATGTCGAGCTCAGGATTGTGGTACTCACCAATCCTGTTCCGTCATCAAGTGCTTTCTTCGACATCATCCAGTGCCTGAGATAGTTCTTGCTCTCAATCTCGTAAAGCTTCTTCGCGTATCTGACGTTGGGCGCAATAGCACTGGGTAAGCTTTGGATGAAAGGGTAAACATCTGCCAACTGAGCGCTAGAACTTCCGGACAGTTTGCCCCAATTCTCAAACCTCTATTTGATGTCACGAGCAGTCAGTATTTGTAAACAAATCTCACGTTAATCCCTGTTGCGGTGGGAAGAGGCGAACTTATTACCTCAAACAGCTGCAGGAGCTTCGGGTCATGGTTATCAGTACAGCGATAACCGTAAATCATCTGCGTAGAAGGAGAGTAGGTGAATCTTCTTATGTGTTGGAGAAAGTCGGAAGGAGTTTCCAAGAGGTCGTTCAGGAGAATCTTATTCTCGAGGTCCTGGTAAGGGACGTACGTGACAGCAGCCTTGATGTTCAAAATATTGTGTACCATGCGATGGATCATGCGCCAGTTGTCTCCGTATCTCTGCATCTTGTTAGTAGCTGGCCGGTTTCACTTCTTCAAAGCTGTCACATATTTCCTCTCTTGACTTACCATCACAACGAGGCGGAGATCACCACTGGCTACTTTTTGACCGATAAACATGTCTGGCCGGTCAGAGTAGTTGCTACTCCTCTTGTCCAATACTTCTTGACCGTTGTGTCCGACGACAGAACGATCATGATTTTTGTTCCGAGTATCAACGAGTAAATCGGTCTACGGCGCCATTGAGTTAGTGACAAGACAAAAACTTCCCATTTCTGCCTGCCGTGGTCTTCGAACTACCCCCCCACGAAGTCAAATCTGAGGTCTTACCCATATTCTTTGGTCGATTTCTTTAGCTGAATATGTGGCCTCAACTTTGGCATCTACGTCCATGTTGTCAGTGAGATCTCTGTCTGTATGTTACTGATGGATTCACAGACCAGATGCAGATTGCCCAGCACAGGCAGTGTCGGTGGACCTGGTGGATAGCCGGGTGGCCTTGATCCCACCTTGCCTAATTTCCAAAGAAAGAGCACAGCAGTAGCAACAAACAAAAGAACTGAATTAGAGAGAGTAAACATTGCGACCAATTTCAAACTTAGTTATTAGGATAGTTCTCGTTTCAAGATGCAGATGAGTAAAGTACTAAGTCAAACCCCCCACTTCCTGGCACCCCCCTGTTTCTGGCACCACAAAAACGATGGGATCACAACCCGACCTCCTCATTACTATTAACTATTGATCCTCAACCACACCCACTACAATACAGCTGCCAGCCTCACTAGGGCATTCAGAGTCGCTGGATTCAGCCGTGATAACCTCCTTTTCACCCGCTTCGATTTGAGCCCGATGGATATCCCTGATGTTCGCGAACTTCGTGTTGGGATCGATTTGAACAGTCTTCCTCTTCCTCACTGCAGCGTTGGTAACTTGAGCCCTCAGGTGAGCTAGTTGCTGCTGGGCAGCTGCCAGTTGCCAGGCCTGCTCTGTGAAGCCTTTTTTCACCTTCCTGAATAGCAGCCGTTGAGTGCTGGTATCATTGTCGAGTTGGGTGTATAAGTGCAGTTGACCGCTGAGCTCTGCCAGCTTCCTGGGTGTCGACCAGACCACTGCAGAGGCAGAATCCCATGGCTCAACAGGGGTAGTTTGTTGACCATTATGGCATCGCTTTCTGCCCTGACTAGTTGGTTTGGGTGTGGTGGGCTTAGCAGGAGGCTCAGGTAGTACCATAGGGTTCATCAGGGGCTTAACCATCGCCACAGGGTGTAGACCAGTCCACTTCCAACCACTTCTGATGTTCGAGACTGATAGACCAGCAAGTCGAGCCTTCTGGTAACAGTCCAGGAAGTTCCTTTTACCTATAATGGTAGAGTCGTTCCATTGAGACAAGTAACCGAGCTCCTTCCGATAGGCTGACTTAACAGGGCTGAAGACACACTGGTCAAGAGGCTGGAGGACATGAGAGGAGTGTGGTGGTAAGAACAGTAAATGGATATTGTTAATATAGCAATTCCACATGAAGTCTGTCGTCGTATGACTCCCATGCCCATCCACAATCAGCAGTCGAGCCTCCCCCTCAGCCTCAGGCATAGTCTGTGGGATGAACACCTTCTCTAACCATTCAATGGCAGTTAAGTCTGTAGTCCAGCCATTATCTGTTGCTGTGAACTCCCACCCATCGTATGGAACGAGATGTAATGGAAACCACTGCTGTTGGACTGTCTTCCCCTTGAAAATGATAAGAGGACGAAGTGCCCTACCCAAGGCTGAGATACACTCAATGATAGAGACCCATGCCCTCGACCCAGGTTGTTTCTTGCGAACAGACGTCGTCTCAGCCATACCCAGCACTAACCCATTAGCTCCCTGACCCTCGAGGGTGCCAGTCTCATCCATATTATATCTGTTGGCTGGTTTGATGTCCTTGATCTCAGGGATAGCGAGGAACTTAAACCAGTTCCTAATGACCTCAGTAGATGCCCCATTAACGCGTCTAGAATCGATAGAACGACTTCTCTGAACCTTAATGATAGGGTTCCTTCTCACAAAGGCATAGATCCAGCCTTTTCCCAGTGGTTTGGTATCCCCAGCAGCAGCCAGAACTCGCTCTGCGAATTCCTTCACCTGTTGGTGCGTTGGTGCGAGGCCCAGCGAAGCCTGAATGCGAACCCATTGTGCCAGCTTACTCTCCTGGTCAGGAGACAGCCTCTGCCAGTCAGCAAAAGCCACTTTCCTAGTCTGACCACCTTGGAGACGTAGTTGGAGGGTTGATCGTGGTATCCCATACTCCAATGAGGCTCTCTTTTGACTCTTGCCGTTTGAGATGTCCTCGAGAGCCTGACGAAGCTGATCTTCGGTATATTGAGGCATTAGATATAGAAGAAGGTATGTGCAAAAGATGAGCCCATTTGGACGCGAATTGAAAATGTTGTGATAAAAGGAGGTTGGGGGTGGGCATTGGGTTGTGGTGGATTTTCGCGTTTTTGTGGGTGCCAGAAACAGGGGGGTGCCAGGAAGTGGGGGGTTTGACTTAATTGAGATTGGGTCTGTTGGAACTTGAGACAAAACCTTCAAGGTAATTTGCTACTAATACTGCCCTTCGGTTACTACCTAACCTCACAGACATTTTATATAATCTTCAGCATTCTTTCTAGTTAGACAAGTGCCTGGATTCCGCCCGCACAGGCCACTGACCAATTGGGTAGAGTTCATGTCATGAGGGATGGATCGCGGGGTACATTAGCTCGTGGCTGTCCAGGGGCCTAGAATGATGTAATGAAGGGGGGCCAGAATCTAGGGTGAGCAAAAATACCACGAGGACTTGGCTGAGACTGTAACGGACGGTGTGGTTCCCCCAGAGTTGTTGCGACATTCGCTTTAGCCCCCTATCCCGAACACAGCGAAGCCGAGGCCGATGCCTCCCTTCGTTCCCAGGCTCGGACTCGGCCTTCCAAAGCACCATTTTGCTGTCAGGAGAATAGTCCAGTACCACAACTCTGGCCACGTGTGCACAATACCCAGCCCCGATACCATGATCAACTAGGCGATGGACTGTGAGTGGCTCTAGGGCTGCATGAATTTGCTTTACATATTGGTAGAAGATGGCAAACAGAATTAAGCAAGCATGTCATCAAGCCTTCTTCTCTCATGAGATGAATCTAGACTAAACTTTATGCACCTAAGCAGGCACGCATTGAATAGTATTCGGGCATTTTGCTCTCTAGATCAACCCTTGCCTGTCCGTAACCTTGATTCGATTTCAGACATGTGGTATTCTTCTGCAATACATGTCCATCAGTGCTTCGCCATCAAAGGAAACTGCTTGGAGATTGTCGTACAAAAACGGTGTCGTCCAGCAGTTCTACAAGCTGTCACTGCAGGTGCCACCAGAGGGCGTCGGTCAATTTAGCCAGTGGCTGGTCGATGGCTCACCCGGTCTAGACCTGCATCTATGCTGCCCAGTCAATGCCGTTCGCACACGCAATGCCGGAGGGTACTCGATCGACGCTGGCGGCAAGTCACACGACGTTGACGCCGTGGTGATGGCGCCGGAGCCCGGTGTAGCCGCCGATCTCCTGAGCGACATCATCCCATCAGATTCGGCAGCCAAGCTTCGAAACTGCCGCTATTCAGAGTACGCTCACGTTCAGCTCTGCTACAAGAAGAATCCTTGGCCAAACTTCCCGGCGTCCGTCGCATTGCCTGCAACTGATTTGAGGAAATGGGGCGCCTGTGTGCTGCTGAGCCATCGCCATCCCAACTCAGTCCCTGCAGGCGGCGAAGCAGTTGGTGTTTACTTTTACACGCCGCCTTTCGCGGACATGGACGACGAAGAAATCAAACATGAAGCATTGATGGCTGTAACCGAGGTTTTCGGGGCCGAGCCCTAGCCTGACTTCATCGGATTATTTCACTACAAGAGGGGCCTCTCGCTGTCACCGCCGGATCATTTCGCAACTCTGAGCTCACTTCATGCCGAGATGCCAGATGGGATTGTGCTAGCAGGCGACTACTTCGCCCATGCAGGCGTGGAAGCAGCAGTCTTGAGTGGTGAACGGGCGGCCCAGCGATTGTTAGGGAGCTTGCCTTCAAGCGGCTAGGACTGAGGTTGAGGCTCCAGCTCATCGAGTGTGACGTAATAAGAGTTTGATATTGAGAGTCCTTAAGGAATTCGAATTCCGCTTCGCCTTCGCTTTGTAAAGATAGGAGGTTGACTAGTCCGCGATACTTGCACCAGTGCCACCTCGCGAGGGAGTTGAATTCCGCGGATCAGAGTCTCAGAAATGCGTAAGGGTCTTCTATGTATTTCTTCATTCGCGGAGTTTCCCATCTGGTGAACCGTTGAGGCGATAAAATTTACCTATAATACCAAAGTCACAGGAAGGATTCTTTTCTCTTTTGCAATACTTAATCGTTTGCCTTCCGTTCTCTTCCAAGAAACTGAAGATCATCTGGCTGCATCTTGGGTCTTCTTCCATCATCTAATACTGCCCGCAAGTCCGCTGTAATTCTTCAACCTAATCCATGACGTCAAGAGCAGACATCGCCATCAGCAAGAACAATGTCTCACTTACAATTCTTCGCGTACGAGGGACAGGGAGTTGAGAAGCAAAAGAAGTTTTTCTACAGTTAGGCGGTGCGAGTCGGCGACCGCATTGAATGCTCGGGACAAGGTGAGCCTTCGAAATAAGCGCTTCCATCATGGGCTCTTTTGCTCCCTCAATCCCTCGAAAACTTTGGCTAACGTATCCTGTTCGTTCAAGGTGGTTGGGATCCAATCACTGGAGAATTCGAAAAGGAGATCAACGCCCAAATCGATCTAGCATTCGAGAATGTTGAGCGATGCCTCAAGGATGCTGGTGGGAAGGGATGGTCGCAGGTTTACCGTGTCAACTCATACCACGTTCCAATCAACAACGAAGCTCTGACTGCGATGGTCCGTAACTTTCGGAAGTGGATGCCGGAGCATCAGCCTCTGTGGACCTGCGTTGGTATCCCACGATTGGGAGAAGACGATATGCGCGTGGAAATTGAGGTTGTAGCGCATGTCGGTTGAGAAGTTTCTGTGTAAATAAGAATCGAAACATCAAAACATATCTTCTCAGATGCTTCTCTGCGGGTTTTACTATGAGACTCTTCAATGTTAGTGATGAACCTGGTGTTCTGCAACTCATGGCAATTCTGCCTTGGGCCCTATTTTGAATGAAATGGTGGGAGTGTACGAGACTCTGTGTTCTTACATCTTGAATTTTGATGACCAAGGACGCAAAAGTAGAAAATATGACAAGTCAATTCGAAGTATTTGATGTTGTCAACGACTTCAACTAATGCTACCAAGCGTCTATTTGAGGCCAACTTTTGCCATGTCGTTACCTGGAGGAGGGCTAAAGAGAACCGACAATTTTGACTGTTCAAATAAGCATGAAACCCAGGCCACATGCATCCTAGAGTTGACAAGCTTTCACGTTCCAGTACCTTACAAGGGAAGACTTAGCTTGGTACATCAGAGTCATGCAATGTGGACGTGCTGCTTGATAAGGAGTGGTCGCTGTTATGAATTTAGAGTTTAACAGATTGTCGGAAAGCCCTCGCTCATAGGCCAGTGAGATAAGAGATAGTCTTACCCCTTGGACGGAATGCGAATTCCTATCTCTCAGCAACAATATCACTGACTACCAAAGTAATTGATAGGCCATTTACGGAAAGGCCCTTGTCAATTTCTACAGACGCCTTTCCAAGGGCCTGGCCACAAGGCTGGATGAACGATTCCATATCGATTGCCCGACTTATTAAAACTTGCGACATGCGCCTTGCAACAGGACAATCCGAACGCAAGGCGGCCATCAATCTTCGAATTCTTGTATCTCTTGCCCAACATGTTGTCGCTCAGGAAGATTCTCGTGTATAGCATCATTTTCTCATCCGGTGAACTCCTCTTGGCCTCGCAGTTGTGTCATCTCTAACAAGCTACATCAGCAACCATCATCGGCTATGATTCCGGATACTTGAATGGCGTGCTTGGGTCCGAAGACTTCATCCGAATCTACGGGGTCAAACATGGCGTTACCGGAGAGCTGTACTTAACTCCATATACCCGGAGCATGTTTTCTGCGCTGTTCGTTGTCGGAGCTCTTATAGGATGTCAATTAGTAGCACCGCCTACTAGTCTGAGTAAGTTTCTTGAGCTTTTCACAGTCTGGGAGTTGCCAAAACATTGCTGATGCTTTGTAGTTGGCCGGCGAGGCAACTTGCTTGCAGCATCTATTACCTACGCTGTGGGTGTTGCCCTTCAGACCGCTGGACTTGCGCCCGCTGTGTTCATCGTTGGCCGCTTTCTGCTCGGTATTGCCCTCGGTCTCATCTCCATCACGGTAAGAACCCAGTATGAAACCTTCTGTTTGGTTGGATGACAACTGACTTCCGTGATGCAAGTCCCTGCGTATCTCATGGAATGCTCTACGCCGACGAATCGAGGACAATTGATGGCATTCTACACCCAATTCCTCACCACAGGTAACGTCATAGCATGTGGTATCAGCCTGAGAACTTCCCAAGTACACCGAATCCCGAAGTTGGCGTAAGTAGACTGTGAAACATCAAGGCTTCATGTGTGCAAAGGCTGATCCAGAAGTAGGCATCACGATTGCATTTCAGCTGGTGTTGGCACTGATCGTTTTCGTCGGAGTCTTCTTCTGCCCAGAGTCGCCGCTACTCCTCGCCAAGAAGAGCCAGAAATCCGAAACGCGCCGGGCTCTCGCCATTCTCCGCAACGCAGACATTAACTCACTAGAGGTCGACGAAGCCATGGTCGAAGTCGAGAATTACATCGCAGACCAGAGCGCAAACGGAAGCGCCAAGTTCATCGAGTGCTTCCGAGGAACCGACCTGAGAAGAACTCTCATTGGCGTAGCTATGTCATTCTTCACCATATCCACTGGTATCACCTTCTGGTTTGGCTACGGAACGACCTTCTTTGCGGCCGCGGCCGTGGACGACTCGTACCTGATTTCTCTTGTTCTCGCCATCAACAATTGCGTCTTCATGGCACCTTCCATGTATCTCATTGAGCGTTTGGGAAGAAGGACATCTTTGATCATTGGTGGAGTTCTTATGGGACTCGCTCAGCTGCTCACTGGTGTCATCCATAGTGCCGCTCCGGATAGCAAGGCCGACAAGATGATGCTTATTGTTGGGGCGGTGTTCTTCATCGCTTCGTATGCACCAACGTGGGGCATCGGGGGTAAGTTGTCTTTCTTGAGACACTGCAGAAGGAAACTCGACTGACAGATTGTGTAGGCTGGCTGCTGATGGCAGAGCCCCTGTCCGACCGCGCGAGGAATTACCAGTCTTCCATCGTTTTGACTGCATATTGTATCATCACATGGCTTGTTGGGTTTGTTACGCCGTACATGATTGACGAGACAGCCGGCAATCTCGGGGTCAAAGTCTCTTATATCTGGTTCGGTATGCCCTGAGTCTGGTTCAGACAATGCTGTCATCATCGAGGAAAAGATGCCGCACAAGGGTGAATCGTCATCTTAGCTAAAAGTCTCGGTGCAGCTTCTCAGGTTGACTGCCAAAAGCTAGTGACTTGGGGTTCCTAGGGCAAGTGAGGGATTGGTGAAGGGGCGAAAGAAACACATATAGCAAGGCCGTTGCAGTAGATTCCTGAAAGCTTGTTGTAAATATTTGATTCACTTCGTCCTCAGTTGACGAATGCTTTCCACAATATATTCTCATCAGCAAATGAAGAAGTGTTGCTCATCCGTATTCCTTAAGTAGTCGTGTCTTCACATCAGGATATCCCATCGCTTTGCTGTGAGTGCTGCCGACGCGTCAGTAAATGACAGATACAGCAGCGGTCTCAGCGATGTCATTGAGGGTCCGAATCTCTCTACTGAACACTGTTTGAAGGCTCCAGGACTATTTACTCGATGTGGGCAGTAATAGCGTAGTAGGCGACTTTCAGCAAATTTTCTTCGCAAAGGAAGGCCCACGCGTTTGCTGTCGAGCGATGGGACTTCCAGATTTCTCACAAAATACCTGAAGTAGCAAGTGATCTAGTCATATGTTGCTGTACGTTCCCTGATTCAATCCCTAAGCTATCCAGTAATTGTCATCTTCATTTGAATGAGACTCGATGGCGCTACTGTCCTAATCAATCCTGACTACCAATTTCCCGGCGTTTGAATGACTCCCAAAGGCTTTCATTCGCGACGGAACTTCCTCAAGACGGACTTCTGTAATCATAGGCTTCACTTTGCCGTCTCTGATGAACTCCATGACCTCAAAACTCTCATCCCATCCACCCATTAACAGACCTTGAAACTTGATAGAGCGCTCAACCATCGAAGCCAAGGGAATTGTCAAGTTGCCTCTGGATTTCGTGACACTGGAAGGTGTGAGCAATTTCCCTCACGAACAGCCCAAAAGTTCACTCACCCTACGCAGATCACTGAGCCGCCGTCGCAAACGTAATCAATCAGCCCTTCAAAAGCAGATTCTTCGCCAGATGTTACAAGAAGAGAGTCTGCGCCGCGGCGAGCCTCTCCAACGGTGCGTAACCTACCACAGGCATCGGAAATTCTTTCCATAAACTCGGCCCGGTCGGCTGTTTTGGTATCTGTAGGTGCAGGAATAAATTCGTCAAAGACATCAGCAGCCCTTGAGCCTAAGGCCTTCACCTTCCATGGTAAATCGACACCAATGACCTTGGCTCCAAAGACGTTGCGAGCCATCATGCCGGCCAGATGGCCGATTCCTCCGCACACCCCGCTAACGATGACCACGTCGCCGGGGGCAGGGTTCGCAGCTTTCAACGCTCTAAGTGCCGCGGCCTCGGAACATAGGGCCGTGGTGTAGACACCGAGACTCGGGCCCGCCGTGTTATCAAATATGAACTCTGGCAGGGGCATGAGGGAAGTGTATGGCGCGGTCATATACTGCTGGAACGTGCCGTTGTGGTGTCGAGGAAATGTCGTTTGCTTTGGACAGGATTCGGGCACGTTGCGAGTACAGTAATGGCAACTTCGGCAGTAGGAAGCCAGGTATCTCGCGGCAACAGGCTTCCCAAGGAGGGATCGATCGTGGCTCATAACGATGTGCCCAATGCCTTCATGGCCAGCAATGTGGTTAGGTCCCCGGAGGCCATCTTCCGGTCCAAGAGAGAAGACAACATCCTGATATGGTACGGCGTTAGCATACCTAGGGCTTGTGGGATCCCCCCGCACTCTCAGGAGGGGTGACAGAATTCGGAATTGTACCGTTGCGCCATATACAAAAGAGAGATCCCTCTACTGCATTTAGGTAGTTGTGGGTACATATAGTTTCCGTCAAGGGGTCACTCACGCTACCACAAATGCCAGTGCAGGCAATCTTCACACCGACCTCACCAAGACCCGGATGCTGGACAGGAATTAGTTGAACCTCTTGTTTGAGCTGGGGGCTCAGCTTTGGTGTTACGATTGCTGTTTGGAAGGCTGGTAAACGAATATCGCCCAAGGTGTAAGAAATCGGCGGCAGTGAAGAAGTATCTAGCAGCTCGACCTGTAAGGGGGGTGGCGGGCTGCTGTCGGATATGACTTTCTCCGACAGTCTGAATCTTTCTCCGTGGGAGTCAATGACCATGATTGCAAGTATTTATCAAAGGCTGAGGCTTGGCTCAAGACACGAGAAGAATAAGATAGCAATCTTGTGAAAGATATATGTCACGTTCAACTTTTCGAGTTAGTCGAAAGTTAAGAGACTAAGCCGTATCATAGTTCTCATAGATAAGAATAGCTATGTCTGTTTCTCTATTCAATGTTCTGTCGCCTGGACCAAGCTCTGGTCGAAAATGTCAGTGGGCTGGCCACGCGGAATCCGAATTCCTCTGGGCGACCCATGATCGACACTAGCATCGTAGCTGCAGACCATTGATAAGCACGAACGCAACAGTCTCCGATAAGCCTTGAGCCTACGTGCTGAAATCGCAATATGAATTCCGCTCGTAGTTCTCCACATGGTTGTTCTTGTTATTCAATTCGAGCATGCCGCTTAAAGTCAATATCATTCCGATGTCAGACAGCTAGCTTGTGGGGCGAATGCGAGAGCCTTCGAGTGACCTAGGCATGCCGAGCAACCTCCAGTTGAAAGGTATGCCCTTTTGAGTTTCAGACTGTAGTTCAACCGCATCCCTCATGGTTGACTGTCCGGAGTTGAGACCTTAACGTTCGAGGTTGTTTACCATCACGACGTCGAGGCTCGAGAGATGAAACTTAAGTTCTACCCAAGAATAAAATGGTTGTTCTTGATTCGCAGAGTCTTTGCGATCCGTTGTATAATCAAAGCCCATTTGAGAATTTGCGGTTGTGATGATCAGATACGTACATATATGCTATCGTGTTCACCACAACATAACACCTAAGCAAGCAGTTGATGAAAGCACTTGATGAAATGCACCCCTAGCCTACGGGTAGACTCATTCGACGGACCATCATACTTCTTTGGCATATAATATATAGAAATATAAGTCCGATCTTGAGCTAGCTCCTTCATGTTTCAATTGTTGCCCTTTTTGTCCGCACTTATCTAATTCATACTTGTTTCCAATGCCTGTATCCCGATCTTGTTGCCCCCCGGCAGCTGTAGACTCCTCAACCCTTTTTGACGACGAGGTATCCAGAGCACTCAATTCCATTTAGTTGTATCTATAATCTTCGGTACTAGAGGTAACCGAAAGTCTGCATTTGCCGCCTTCAACCATTTACAATCCCATTGATCAATGCTGATATAGGGAAGCCAGTCCCCTTTGATTCCTAATTCGAGAGGAGAACGTTCGGAAGCAGATCCCCTCACTCCGATGATCTTATTGCAAGCTCAAGTACTACAATCGTTTCAATTTCGGCGGCTAGCTCCGTGATAGAGTTAAGAATGCGGGGTGTCACATCGCCACGAACCAGATCCAAGTTTGAGACTACCATGGGAGACCAAACGAGGCTGATAGCTCGAGACTATTGGAGAAGGTAGGGTATATTCTCTTGTAACTCGGGGACCTCAACTCATCAACTGCAATTCTTCTGCTTCTGATACCATCCATTCCTCCTTACATCCAGAGATAGTCTAACCTTGACGGAATGAAGGGTTCCAAGACGTTCGTGGGGTTGATCGGTCTGGCGGGCCAGGACGAAGTCTCGTCTTACACAAGCATGGTTGTCAAGACAGCCGCAGCTCTGCAAGGAAGAGGACACGTCTGTTTCTTGTTTCTCATCAATAACGGGGCAAATCTCCGCTCCCTGCGAAGCATAGTTCACATAGGTGAGATAGTGACGGAGTAAACGGAGTTCGCCAAAGCTCGTGTCCAGCGAGGTACCCATCAGCAGCCCGGAGAGAAGAGCTGACCACATCAACGCCAGAATGATCCTACCATTTAGACTACAATCGTCGTAATCTGTATACGGGGTTGAGTTCCATGGACTTTGAGATGAAGCACAAGCACATAGTGAAGGAATCCGCCATAACCTCTGCGACGAAACCTGGCCCGCTACTGATGTTTCGAGATTTCCTCGTTGTCAAGATAGAGTGGGCTGCGTCATGTCAGTCCTCAATCGCCTCAAAACATTTGAGTTTAGCCGGCACGTGGGGTGGAGGGGAGGGCAGCATGCCACTCAATGCATGCGTTGGATTTTCTCCTTTCCCCCGACCCCGGATTTTGAGTGCAGCTGTCAGGTCATGAGTCCAAGTGCCGGAAGCTTGCTTGGGCCTGGCTCATCGTTATTCGAAGACTTCCATGAATGTGCCTGGGTAATCTGGCAGCAGAGACCCTCGATGAGGGAGGGGGGCCTGGTAGCAGGCCCGGATGAGCCGTGCGGCGGCGGCGGCGACACAACAACTTCCACTCAGAAGAGGGATGGTTGGGCTATCAGACAACGGCACGGTTACAGTGGAAGCTCCTTATTTGGATGATCATTTAGACAGGGTCAACCAGGTTATCTTGAGGTTGCAATGATTAGGTGTCATCGGGCCTGATCGCCCGAGAGAAGCACATCATTGCCCACATCGGCCAGGCACCATCGCATGCCGCTACCTACTTTGTCGAGCGGCTCGTGAAGCGGCCCGAAATCATGGGTGCTTCTTTCTTTTGGGTGTAAGTACCATCTCTTGGTCATGTCCCTCTATCTCTCATCAAGGAACGCTGTCCCTGCCATGACCTGGACTGGAGCCGGGCTCGCAGGCGACAAAACCCTCAAGATCAGCGGAGCTGCGGGTCACGGGAGGAACTTTCGTACCGAAAATCTACTTACTCCTGCGGTCTCACACAACGTGCAGCAAGAGCCGGGGAAACTCCCCGATAGTCCACTAAGAAAGCCGAGAATCATGCCGGTCCCGAGAAGCCGGGAGTGGGCCTGCGGCCAGGTCGCCTGCCTCCCCATGAAGCGAGACCAAGGCCTCATTGGCGCTTCGTACGAGGAACACATGAGAAAATTGTAAGATGCTGAGCAAGCCGCTCGAGAGATAGTCCGACCCTGACGCGGTGAGAAGGGGCTTGAGGAAGAGAATCTGGAAAGCAAATCCTCGTTGGATGGAAGGGCGGTCCAGCTGCCGGAGGCTCCAGCGAGCACTGGTCCCACCGCGGCTTGGTACGAGAATTTGAGAAACATCTGTGGGCCTGGGGAATAACCTGCTTCGAGTAGAATAGTCCTCAGCCTTCCATCAAGTTGTGGAGTATCCGACAACCTGAAGGCAGGGCTACGCGAGATCGTGTAGGCAACCTGCCGTCACTTGACTTGCCCCGGAGCAGCGTAACAATACGTGTGGGGTTGCAGTGTTCTGGCTCAGACCGATCATAGTAGCAGCGACCAATGGTAGTCGGATCCCTTGATGTTGATTTGTTGGTTGAGAGGATTCCTTGGTAACCTAGCTGAGCCAAGACGGCACGAGATTTGCAGGTCAGCGGATGACAGGGCATTTGCCTCCGCCGCGGGCCAGATTGGAAACGAAACCTGAGCTTGTGTCTCAAATAGGAGGATGATATTTGAAGCTCTATGCGGGGCTAAAAGCCCTCAGTTTGGTGTAAACAAGAGGCTAGTCACTGTTGACGCAGGATGCCCGGAGTGAAGGCGATCTGCCGGTACACTAGCTCACCGGGCGATGTCCCCAGATGACTGGAAAGCCTAGACGGCATGTGTCGTTGCCACGTGGTTGTAAAGGGCGAACGGAAGAAGCCTCGTTTAGCTGACGGAGATGAGCCAAGAAGACGATGACACCGTCATCCGAGAGGTACGATGTAGCTTGGAGCGGAACGAGACAAGGCAAGGGTTGTATACCTGCCGGGAATACTCTAGAGGAGTCGTAGTTAGGCAACCTTAATTAGCGAGACCTGGAGCAAACGAGGCGCTTGACGTCGGTGAGCACAGTACAGCATGAACATCTGAAGGCCAGTTGGTGATGTTGGGGTTTGGAGCAATATGAGCAGAGTGGATGATTCGGGGTAGGACAAGGGGCCTCTAGCAAAAAGCCACGAATGAGAGGCAACAAGGGGAGCGTCCGATCTTTTCACATCTTGGGGAGTTTCGGACCGACGACCGTTATGTTATGGCGCCACGCGCGACCGCCGTGCCGTATTCAGGCTAAATACCTCGTGGCACACTTGGGCAACCTAATTTGGTGGCGCCATTCTCTTCTCCTGGCCGGATTCTCGTTCATCCGTCATCGAAGAGAGTCGGATTCCGTCCGTTGCTGGCCGTTTTCCGAGGAGAAGGGAAGCTCAACGTCGGTAGGTATGTTCGTTCGAGAAGTCGTCCAGAACATGACGTACACTGGACGCGTGGTTTATTGGGAGGACAGTGGTGAAGAAGAAGAAGACAATTGCGCAGGTGGTTGTGGGCGTGGTCACTTGCTCTTTCAGTCATGGGTTGGTTGCCCGAGCCGCTTTGCAGAAAGCTCGAATGCGAAGTTTGGTAGCGAAGTGATGGCCAGACACACACGGCACAGGATGGCGTCCCGCCACCCAGCTTCATGCGGCGACCGAGATTTCGGCCACATTGACTAGGATCGAAAGGGCTCTCACTCTGTCGGTGACTTAGTAGTGACTCGAAGGCCAGCTCGATGAAGGGAGGTCCCTCAGGTTTGGGGGTTTGTGTGAGAGGGCCGTCATCATAGGTGCCGGGTTCATGGCTGGTGGTGATGGACCAAGGGCCGACCCTCCATCAAAAGTTCTCCAAAGGCCCCACACGCACCCTCAGAGTCGCTGCCAGCTAGCTCCTCCAATTTCTACCGTTCTTCAACTGGTGCCAGTCCAGATGAATGGTCAGCCTCCTCTCAGAGTTTGTGGCTGATGCTTTCCTCGGGCCTTCTAGGTGCAATCACCAGCAAAGGCCTGGATACTTTGGGGTAGATGTTGCGAAAGTGGCGCTTGATTTGCTCCGAGGCATCGAGGCATCGAGGCATTCGGGTCGGCAAGACTAGGTAGGTAGCAGTGTGCCTCTTCGAAAGGGCCGAGGAAGCTCGAGAATGAGATACAGTGAAGCTAGCACCTCGAAGACCAGTCTTGCAAGAGATTCGGCACCGTCCCGCACCCGGCGTATCCCTCGGGGAGGACCGAATGGAATCTCTGGTGGTGGTGGTTGTGGTGGGTGTGCGTGGTGTGG